ATGGGGAGGCGTATGATCAGCAGTGGATTTTGAGGGCTGTAATGAATGAATGACCAAAGCTATTTCTCAAGTGCTAAGTAGTAGCCTCAAAAAAGTAAGTACGGTGTATATATATTTTTTTACAATATGGGTAATGAGCATACAGTTCACTTGATGGTAAGTGGATAGATACTGTGGCCCATAGAAATCTACATCAATCATGATAAGGAATCAAATTGCTCAACTAAAGATGGGCCGCATATTCATTTCATATTCGGTATTTGGCATATTCGTCAGCTTTACTAAATATTCATATTAGGCAGAATATTCGGCTAAATTACCGAACATTTGTTTAGGTGGTACTCAGTGTCCACTGGACTGAAATGTATGAATTAAGTAATGCCATGTCTTTCATAATTCTAATGTGAAAGTATATTTTATTTATGAGTTAAATCTACTTGTATGGCGTTATGTTTGGTAATTTGATACTATCGCGGTTACCTCGTTTTTTGGCGCAAGAAAATCGAAAAATCATCGGCAGAATTACGAAAAAAATTTCAACAATATAAAAATTAAAACCTATACTGGTTTTAAGGCTTTAAATGTTCATGAAAATGCACTCATTCACATATAATTGTTGATAACTTTTTTTAAATAATCAAATGAAGTTGCTATATTTTTTTTCATAATCTACACAAAAAAACTAACATTCAAAAAAAATTAAAAAATGTTTGTTTATTAATTTTTTATTTTGGTTTTTATTGAGTGTAAGATCGAGCGATGCGAGCTCGGAACTTAGGGCATCCCGACTCGGACAGGTTGACTATGCTATGTTGAGTGGCGTGGTGTTTCCCTCCCCCAACTCTCTCCTGTAGCACAGTTGAGAGAAGCCCGGTAGACCTACTTCTGAGTGGTTTATAAAACATAACCACGACGGTGATGTTGGGTTTATTAGCTCTCTCACTCGACCCTGCCATCTCCTAACCTAACTTGTCCGAGTCGGGATGCTCTAAGTCCTGAGCTCCCTTCGTTCGATTTTACACTCATTAAAATACCAAAATATTTACTTTTATAATTACTTCTATTTTCTAGAGCGCTTATGATAACATTTAAAGCCAGAAAACCATATAAAAACTTTAAGTGAGATAAAAAATTAATAAACAAACATTTTTCAATTCTTCTTTTGTTTTAAATGTTTGTTTTTCATGTAGATTAACAAAAAAATATAATAAACTTGTGATTTTGTGAAATGCTTTGCATAGAAAGTTTATGACCGATTATATTCGAAGAAGTGTGTTTATGATCACATTTAGTCATAAGACTATATGAAATCTTGAGGTGAGATATTTTCCATATTTTCTTTCATAAACCCGCCATAAAGACGAAGATTTAAAAAAAATCATCAAATTCGGATGGTTTTTCGAATTTCTAGAGCCAAAATACGAGGTGACCACAATAGTATAAAAATTATCTTATGTTTTTGAGGCACTGTAGATTTATTTCCAATTATATCAAATAAAAAGCTTGATGAAATGTTTTTGGAATCAAATAAAGAAACATTACTTTTATCATCAGTTACTTTGGTCATCAGTTTCTCTAAGAATAGTCCAAATAGTAGATCTCACATTTTTTTCTCTTCTTCTTTTTCTTCATCTTTGATTTTGATTAAGAATAACACAATGAAATACTTTTTTTCTCACAAAAATAGTCAAAACAAGCATGTGCTGGCAATTTACTCAGTACTGGATAATACAATAACATGTAAGATGTGGCGGGGGAGGGGCAGGGTCCGGTGCTAATCCCAGATACTTTACGGTAACAAGTTTCGACATAGATTAGTTAGGTACCTATGTGATCCTGCCAAATAATTTTTGCCTAAATATTTGGTCCTGTAAAATTTTTACCAAACTTTCGGCCGAATGTTAATATTTGGTGAAATCCATATTCAACCCATCTCTAGTCTCAACGTAGATTTATCACATCAGTCATCTACACAGGGCAGGATTATAATGCCCGAATGTGCTATGTAAATGCTCAAGCACAGGTGCATTCTCCATTCCCTCACTCTCATAGTTTGATGGGATGAAAATACAAGAGGCCAGCAGAGATCATGCGCAGGACCAATAGTTCCGCATACTTTCCGAGACATGAGGAAGAAGCTGCTACTGAAAATTTCTTGACAGAAAATCCAAACCCACCATTTGAATCCAAGGATTTCAGCATCAGGAATTATGTTTTTGACCACTAAAGCAACAATGCATTCGCTGTTAAAGTGTAAAACAGATATAAAGATATATAGATAAAAGCAACATCCATAAGCAGATCTCAGAATTTGATAAAATTTAAGTAAAGTTTTTATGTCAGTAGTTTAACAATATTTTAAAAGCTTCTCTTAGCAGCTTTATTTCTTGCAAAACATGGACCTAAGATTATAGGTATCCTCTGGGGTTTTTCTGCTACAAATGCAAAAGTTGCAAATAAGTGTTATGATATCTACTTTGCATTAGTACAAGGAGATTATTGTTTTAGAAATGACTAGAAATCTTAATAAACAAAATATTCTTCAGTTAAGTAGCAGAAAAAAAATTGTAATGTTTACTCACTGGGAATTCCTTTTCGAACATATCGTTTAACTGTGTTAGTGCGTTTGACCGACTTTCCTTCGCCGAGTAAAGAGGCCCATTTCTGTGCTCGTGATGCTAGTACTTTTAAATATACGGACATAAAGTGTTCATAGCTCTCATAGTCAAAATCTTCGTGCCTTTCAAATCCGTATTCATCTACAGCGCTACAATAAAAAAATAAGAAAATTTTCGGAAATCGATACGGTTTATTGTCAGCCTGTGACCTATTGCTTACCTGAAGTTTGAATGAGCCATTGTGGGTAAAATATTTAACGATATAGTATCATGATTATTAAAATATTAGAAAAATACTCTTGTACGTTATCTATAGTTACATAAAAGCAGTGATTTATAAACTCTTTGCAGGTTAATAAAACGCCCCCAATCTACCAATTTTTAACATCACCCCAACCCCAAAAAATGTCATCATGACTGAAAAGAATAAACAAATTTGTTATTGTTACAATTTTCCATTTAAGCCAGGCTACGTTCTTAGACCATACAGCCTAGTATGATGTGTATTTTATAGACTATATTCATAATAACATGTCGATGCTAAATAGCAGCTTAATACTGCTGCGTTTCGTATGGTGAGTGTAGAGAACCGGCGACCCTTATTACTATAAATGAGGCATACCATTTCTTCACTAGTCTAAGCTAGTGCTTGACTATTACGTACTATCCCACTTCATGATATTTGGTGATGCAGCCAAAGATAATAAAGTGCACTGAATTCACAAAATTCTATTTACTCTCACCTTGAGTGCGCCCACATTATAATCAGATAGAAAGACGCATGTTTGAAAGTTATTCCGTTCCATTGGCGTATGCATGACAACCATTAAGCATAAGCAAACAGTTGGCTGGAATGCACGGTAAGTCGACAGCGTAAGGGTGGAGACTGGCTGAGCGCCTGATTATCCAAAGATGGAAGGGTAAGGGAGGAATTAAGTTATGCAATTCCAGCGCACACTCTCCAAAATTAATCATTTAAATAATCGAAAGGTTGGCTATTTTGCTCTTGTGTTGGAGATTGATGATTCGTTTTAATCCCCGTGTAAAGTACGGCCATAATTTTGCAAGAATCCTAACTTTCTTGCAGTTGCTATGGCCTTGAAGTCAATGAACCACCCTAAGTTCAGCTTTGAGGAAATTTCAACCCTAAACAACTGAAGGCATTGAATTTCACAAGATTGGTGTTAACTCGTTCGGACACTGCCTGCAGTGTGTGATTCACACGCTTAACCATAGCTTATCTTTCAGACTGGATTTGATCCCGACAGGCCCAAGCACTCAGTTTGTACTTCTCTTAACAATTGTATTGTAGTCTGCATGCATACCCATAGACACCGGGCATAAGTAAGTCTTAAATATGGAATGGGAAAAGAGACGTAGAGAGAACGAATCCCTGCGGAATTCCAGCGTTATTTACTATAGGATTAGATAAGCTGTAGTCATCGGGGAGACAGTTCACTTTTGCTAAAGACTTCTCTAGTTAAGTTTTAATTAATTTATTTATTTTACATTAGTATTATATTCCAAGTATTATATTTTTCATCTTATTTATAAGTCCTAACCAGACCAGAATACCTCAATACAATCCATGTTACAACGATAAGTATTTAACTTTATCAGGTCAGTACCTAAATTATAAATAAATTAAAAAAGAATAAACAATAAAGCCATTTAAACGTTTTTTTTAAACATTGGTCTGTATAAGTAATACAAAGAATCTTAATTTATATTACTCTGACGACGATGATTATAATTTATGTTTGTTATACTTCTTAATATTGTAAATTGAAGTTGCAGTAATTTCTTATTATCGCTGGAGAAATATATTATATCTTGCATTTATATAAATATAAATGTGTTTTTTTAAACCTATGTATTTTTAATACTTTCCTTAAAAACCATTTTGTATTAACATAATAATCATATATTATTGACGTGTTACTACAAAATATTCGTGTACTACCTGGTATAGCACTAGATATAATTCAGGGAAATCATTATATGGCGTAATAGCACGTGCTGTATCAACCAGGTCATGCACTAAGTCGTTTTGAAATACTTATAGTCATCAACCGTCCACTGGGTTATCGTCGAAATCAAAAAAAAAAATTCAAAATTCAACTAGGCTGTATGGCCATAGATTCCTTTATCTTTATGTTAAAAAGCTAGGGAAATTTGACAATTGACATTGTTTTGTGTTTGTTGTTGTCAGAGTATGGTAATAGTTGGTAATAGTCATAGATTACTGTAGTAATAGTGTTCTGTGGTTGTTTTAAATTGTCTAAATTTTAACAATACAAAATTATTTGTGATTATATTAATTGCCCGTCTTTTGTATTGTCTTGTTAATTTTATTAGTAAATATTTAATACCTATTTTAATATGGGTCCACCTCCCGTTGTCACTGGCATATCACCAAAAGAAGGTCCTCCAGGAACTAGAGTAACAATTCGTGGGGAGTTTCTAGGTATTAGTGCAACGGATTTAATTGGTGAGTGTTGTATGATATACTTTTGAAAGGCTGTCCGTGTTAAAATTTAAAATAATCGAACGTTATTTAAAATCTATCATAATATTCTGCAAATAGGAGGTATATTAGCACGTTTTAGTAGTCTGGTCCACTTTTCGTGTCTCCTTCCTCCTTCATTGTGACACGAATACGCAAAGGAAATAAAATAAAAAATAAGTTTTGAAATAACATCTTCAAATAAAATAACATCTTCCCTAAATTTAATAGTCCTGTCATTGGGTATGGTCCGTTTTTGAGACAGCTGCTACAGATACAGCTTAAACTAGAAAAAACTAATGCCACTCATTGTCATAACAAACCTTAGTTATTGTCACGACATTAATTATTTCACAGTTGTTAAATTTCATTTTGAATTTGTTTTGTTGAAATATTCATTGACTGGAAAACAAAATGAATTTTCCACATCAGTACGAGATTGGTTCTCATCTTATCTTTGAGAGTATCAACAGGCGGTTCTTGCTAGACATACCATTTCTGACATGTGCACTATATGCTTGCATTCCTAAAGGCAAAATTCTTTCTCCTCCCTTATTTTCTATTTTAATAAATCTTATTGGTTCTTATAAGTTTCTAATAGCTCATATCATTGGTATGGTCATGATTTAAAAATTTACACCCCAATTGAATTCATATGTATAAATGATACGCTTGAGGTACTCAATAATGATCTTATGCATAGATCTGATCGGTCAAACAAAAAAGTGATATTTCGGTGAATCCCAGTGTCTGGTCATTAAATAATAAGTAAATAAATAAAACTTTATTAACATAATTACATTCCTTTACAATAAGCTTCTTTACAGTAAGTTTAAAATAAGCTAATTACAACTTTTGTAAGTTGCTTACTATGGTTTGTTACTACCTAATGTACTAGGCCGAGCCTGTATTACAGATGGCAGTTCCTTCCTCTATGACACAAAAGAATATAATATCATGATTTCTTATATTTACGCGAACATTGCACATGATTAAAACTACTTTTACGACACCCGACGTGTCGTAAAACGAAACATCGGTAATTAAAAATAAAAAGTAAAAATAAACGCGATAAAATCCGTAAAAGTAGTTTTAATCAAGAATATAATATCACTAAACTCAGCTTATATTTAACTAAAAAACAATAGCAATATCGACATTAGAAAGTTAGTTTTATACAAAAGTTTACATTGATATTCAACTTTTTTTTTATAAGTACCAAGTTAACATTTTTAATAAAGGTAAATTTATAAGCATAATATATAAGCATGATATTATGCTTATAAATTTACCTTTATATATATATATATAAGCTAAATTTTTAAATATAGTAGATTATGTAAATTTTTAATAAAGTAGTTTTAAACTGTATAAGTTTGTTTTTTTGTGTGGTCAATTTTACTAAGCTAATTATTTATCTGTTGGTAATTAATACTATTATATTGGTCTATTAACACTTATATAAAACTATTGTGTGAGCGTGAGTTAAATGTTTAAAATGTGTAAATATCCCCTTGTGTGGCAACCGGCCAGATTCTGGCCGATGGTTAATTACGCGCGTCTGGCAAGCGACCAGATTCTGGCTGATCCGTGACTGCGTATTTGGGGGGTAAAATAACCAGCGACAATGATTTCTATCACATTTTTACTTATAGAAAATTATAAACCAAAGAAAGAGGATGCGATACAAAGCTACTAAAGTACTGCCATGTTTAGAAATTTCGAATAAACGGCCTGTGTGGCAGTCGCATGCGAACGTCGCTTTTATGTGGTCGCCCGTCCCGGTTTTTGTCCTTATTTTTATTCGTAAATCGAACAAATAGTGAAGTTTGGTGCTATTTAGACATGGAAGGGTTAATAGCCAACAGTTTTTAATTCATAATTTAGGGATATGTATCCTTTTTATAAAAAAAATCGAACATAAACCGTCGTTATACTTACTTACCTTACATTTATCTCCATTGTTGATTAAAAATACATTACATACTTTTTAGAAATGAAACTTTATCTAAATTAAGAACTTGAGCCATACTTAATGTTAAAATTATCGCACGCCACTTGACTTGCTCATTTCTCAAAATAAAACTAACAATATATGCTATTTTGTTGTGCGACACTTGGGTTGCCGTTAATGTATTAAGATTGTAAAACACTTTTGGGGTAAAAATATATAGAAATGTGTGGTTTTTTTTTGCTTTTTTTATTATAAATTAGTGTATATTGATGAAAATAAATTACATTTATTTTATAAAAGAATGATTTTTTTGTTTAATTTTCACAAATTATGCACAAAATACTATTAAAAATTTGGTTTTCCAACTTTGAAATTGGCTTAATAAAATTTATTAAGTTGTATTCAACTAAGATATCAACAGAGTAATAGCAAATAATATAACAATTCATATGACATAAGTTTTATACATAGCTTCCATACAATATTTTAGAGAAATTACTAATTTAATCGCCACGCGCCGTTATCGCGAAATTACCTCCTAAGGCCCTAGCAGACGCGACATATTTGCAAAATGACCGGCTGGCAGACGAGGGGATATGATTATAGTTGGTAGTCCCTGTCATTTATCTATTATACAGTCAAAGACCTTGGGCTAATTAAAGAGAAAATACTCCATTAGTAACCTCAAGTCTCCAAAGTCATCAAAAAATTTACAAAGCCTTTGCTTCTATCTTATTAATTATATCTAGTATTCTATTGTTATCTTAATGATTTCTAAAACTTTGCACTTTGCACCTTTTTATATTTTCTGAGCATCCTGGAGAACTGATAGGGAATAACCTTAAATCTGCCTTTTTGTACGTATTTGGGTGCAAAATAAATAAAAATAAATAACACTTGCAACTTATTTTGGTGAAATTATTTTATTTTAATCAGAAATAAGACACAATGTTGTTTGATAATTTAGTTAGACATATATTGAAAAGCCTCAGTTCCTTAAAATAGCTAATAAATAATTTGAAAACTAATATCTTGAATAATTTTAATAAAATTTAGAATTTACAGCACATGTGTTGTATTAAATTTTTTGAAAAATGTTACAGGGCTTAAAATATGCGACTGTGATTGTCTCTTGTCAGCGGAATGGAAGAGTAAGAACAAAATAGTGGCTCGATCAGGACCTTGCAAGGGTAGAGGTGATATCATAGTTACTACAAAGTCAGGTGGAGAAGGTACTTCTACTGTGCAGTTTAGAGGTGTGTTTTTTATCATTTCAATTATAAAAAAGAAATTCTTTGAAATATGTGTAGATATGTGTATTTCACACACAATCATTTGTGTTAGGAGCCACCACATATATTGAAATTCTAGTTTATGATTTATGGTAACTGAGAAAAATGTATATATAGATAACAATAGTGTGTTTTTATTAATCAGTATTATTTAAATTAAATTAATTAAATACTGATTCTCAAAATTTGATTTAGTAGTAGTAAATTTACTGTTTTATATAAATTAAACATAAATAATCTCTTTAAGTTTGTGTGGTGATTCAGTACCGTGTGTTTCATAAGAACTGAGTATGGGAAATGGTAGAAAAATTTAATGGCTTCTACAGTCATGATAAATTCATTTATCTCAATTCAAATAGTGTAAAGCTACAGCTACACCCTATAAGTATATGTTCCACAACTGGGTACATAGCACCTCTCATTACCAAAAGGTTCATAGGCCAATACTTCTGCCATGCCACTCTAGTCTGTGATGGTGGACTTCATAGGTTTTCTATATATTTTTATTCCTCAGATGTGCAGGTTTCGCTTTTCCACTTAGATTAAAAAATCAGCTTTTAAAACATTTAAATAAATCATTGGTTGGTATGGAACATGGATGGAACATACTATAAAATTTATGGCAAGTGCTTAATGATTATTTACTCATGTTAGACATAAAATACTCTGACCCATGCTGGGCATCATGCGTCAAAGGGCTGCAACATCAAGTACTTCGATTGTTAATCCATGCCAGGTGTGTTGATTAAGGCAAATGCTCTCTACAACAGCGAGGCCCATGGACGGCAGTGTATCTTCATGGACTGATGATAATGAAGAAGTATCTCAAGCAAAAAACAAAGATTTTTGTGAATGAATCAACTCATGTAAAACTTATTTTCATAGTCAGAAGTTCCTAATATATATGTGTGATTTATTGTAGCACATAGTTTGATTTCAAAAATGCAGTCAGATATCATGTTCAAGTCTTTCAAGCAAGCACAAATGTTTTTTATTCTCATACACCTTTCTATCCCATCCAGAAATATTTATTATTCCTTTGTAGTGATATAGGTATTTAAAATTTTTATGAAATTGAAGTGACAATCTAAATTACATTCCATCTGATGGTTACTAGCCCTCATGGCTTTCAAATTGGATCACAGCAGCGGGTAAATCACCAAATAAAATAAAATGGGGTTGAGGCTTTTCATTAAAATTTTGCATAACATAGCAAACAGCAAGATATAGTAATATACTGTGTATTGGGACAATATAGAATCCACCATCCCATTTAATTTAATCGCTGTCATACTGACTTTGGGATCTGCCATGTATTCTGACTGACATGGCTTCAGACAGGTGACTGTAAAATTGTCATGATTATGACTGACATTATCTTATCTCAGGGTAGGGTTGCCCACCATACTATAATATATTATAGTATCATACTATATTTCAGTCAATTGTACTATATATTATAGAAAAATAATATAGTACGAAATATGCTATATTTTTATCCCTAATTCAACTTCCCCGCTTTTTATATTAACTGTGATTGTATGTATGTAAATTTCCATCATGATTGTAAAATTACATACATACATAAGCACTCACGCCTGTCACCCAGTGGGGTAGGCAGAGACTACAGACTTCCATTTGGCACAATCCTGACACACCTCTCTTGCCTCCTTCACATCCATACACCTAAGTTAAGGGTACTCCTAATTTGGCCCGTTTTCAATAAATCGCCAATTTGGTCGCCTTTGTTATATAGCAGCGAAACCTGGGTATGCCAGAAGAAGCATAAAAGCAAGTTGAATGCAGTAGAGTTGCGATCTCTTCGTAAAATGTGTGGCGTTACCATAGCCGACCGAAAGCGAAACGAAGAGATTCGCAATATGGCAGGATTGAAAGATGACCTTATCACAAAAATTGATAGGGGCGTACTCCAATGGTTTGGGCACGTTGAACGAATGAGTGAAGACCGAATGGTGAAGAAAATATATATAGAGCGAAAGTAAATATTAAAAGGTGTCGAGGTAGACCGAGACTAACTTTCGAAGACCATGTGAGCAAATTGCTCGAAGAGGGGAGGGTCAAGAGTACTCGGATACCTAGACGTGCATGTATGAAGAAGTTAATGAACCTGAAAGAAGCGAAAGAGGTATGTAAGGATCGTGACACTTGGCGATCTGTTCTCTCTGGCTACCCCGTTGGGGATTGTGCGTGAAGATAAGTGGTCGATAAATTTTCGCCTAGGACGTCCCTTTCCGACTCTGCCATTCACTTCTGCACCATAAATTTTCTTTGTCACTCTTTCCTCATTCATTCTTTCCACATGACCAAACCACCGAAGCATTCCTTTCTTAATCCTGGTCACAACATCATCTTGCAAACCACACTCTTCTCTTATTACACAATTTCTTACCCAGTCATTCAGATTCAGCCCTAACATACTCCTTAACGACCGCATTTCTACTGCGTTCATTCTACTCTCGCACTTCTTCTGCCACACCCAACTTTCACTACCATACGTTAAAGTAGGGACCAACACAGCATTGTGAATTGCCATACGTGCCTTTTTCGACACATTTTGACTCTTCACAATAGAGTGCAAGACCCCATTTACTCTATTTCCCGCATTCACTAGTCGTTCTATATCCTTATCATATCTCCCATCCCTGCTAAATACGCAGCCCAAATATACAAACTCATCTACTTGCTCGATCAACTCCCCTTCTATTCTTATTTCACAAATCGTTTTACTTTCTTCTCTTTCAAAAACCATAACCTTCGTCTTACTTGCGTTCACTTTCATACCCCTTTCTTTTAATGATCCGTTCATTAATGTAACCATCATTTGCAACTCGGCCGCCGACGACGCAAGAATAACTTGATCATCGGCGTACAAAAGGCATTTGACGGTTAACTCACCCATTCTTAATCCGCATTCTTCAACTTTCAAATTTTGCAAACAACTGTCCATAAATAGGTTGAACAGCCATGGGGAAGCCACACAGCCCTGTCTGACACCTTTATGGATGTCAAACCAGTCCGAGTAGACCCCGTTGATCCTAACACAAGCACTAGAGTCCCTATAAAGAGACTCCAATGCCTGTATCAAGCCAGCGCTCAACCCAAATGAGTTCAGTGTTTGCCATAGCAAATCCCTATCCACTCTGTCATAGGCCTTTTCCAAGTCCATGAACGCACAAAAAATCTTTTGGTTTTTGGCAAGAAACTTCTCCGCGATCATGCGCATGGAAAAGACTTGATCTGTACATCCCATTCCCTTTCTAAATCCCGCTTGCACATCCCAAATTTTTCCATCTGTCTCTTTCATGACCCTTTCAATCAGTACCTTAGCATACAGTTTTCCCACAATGGTAAGAAGGCTGATGCCACGGTAGTTTTTACAGTCCTGCTGCGACCCTCTTCCTTTATATACTGGGACTATCACGGCTTTGCACCAGTCTACCGGTACCCGCTTCAGTTCCCAGCATAAATTAAACAAGGTGTGCAGCAGGCCTGCCACCACTTCCTCTCCAGCCCTAGCATTTCGAGTGAAACTCTATCATATCCGGCAGCCTTACCTGCTTTCATGCTTTTCATTACTTACTTACTACTCTTCACGCACATCCCTAACGGGGTAGCCAGAGAGAACAGATCGCCAAGTGTCACGATCCTTACATACCTCTTTTGCTTTTCATTGCTTTCATTATTTCATCTATACTTATCTCGCTACCTCTTTCCTCTTCTTTCGGTGTTTCTACTTCACTTAGTACACACGTTGTCTCCTCACTCATAAACACGCTTTCAAAATATTCCTTCCATCTCTTTAAACTCAAAACTTCATCATTCAGAATATAGCCATTCTCGTCTATATTCTGAATGAGTTTTGAGTTAAAGAGATGGAATCGAATGCTATAAGCATTCATCATAGGCTGTTTTGAATGTCCCCTGGCAGTTCTTATAAGTTTCCAGAACATTTTAATATTTGCCTGGAAGTTATCCGATATTCTTCTATCATTCTTATCCGTTCTTTCTTGCTTTTTTCTTTCAACTACTTCTTTTACTCTCTTATTAAGATGTCTAAAGACTGCCTTTTTTCCTTCAATATCACCATTCGTACCACTAGAATTAGCAGCCTTTGTTGCTAGTAAATCTAGCCATGCTCTCTTCTTTGCTTCAACTTCCATACGTATCTCATCATCCCACCATAACGTATTATTTTTCCTTTCATTCTTTCTCTTACTAATACCACATACTTCGGTAGCTGCATCCACTAAACCTTTCTTTACATTTTGCCATATATTCTCCAAGTCTAACTCCTTCATACAGAATTCATCCAAACCACTTATATTTTCCTTCAGTCTACATTTGAACTTGTTTCTATCACTTTCATCTTGTAACCTTTCTGTTCTAATACGCTGTAACGCAGTGGTAGACACAGACAATCGATGGCGCCAACGCCTGAATAGACCATTAATTCGGCATAAAACTAAATAATGATCCGTTCCTACGTTAGAACCCCCAGTAAACTCTCGTATCTAACACTGCGCTCCTCAATCTTTTATCCACAATTATGAAATCTATCATGCTTCTATCGTCACCTCTTTCCCAAGTATACATGTGAATCCTCTTGTGGCGAAAGCAAGTGTTCGTCACAAAAAGATTCTTTTCCATACATACGGTGAGGAGACTTTCACCATTCTCATTTATACTTTCATCACCAAACGTTCCCAATATCCTTTCATAACCAAGCCTCCTGACCCCAACCCTTCCATTAAAATCTCCTAGCATAATAATATTTTCATTTCCCTTACACTTCATTAACACCATCCTTACCATTTCCCAAAACTGCTCTCGGATATAAGTGGGCTTAGACATGTCTGGGGCGTAGGTAGACCCCTAACACAAACAACTTCTTTAAGCCCACTTTCATTCGTATCCATAGCAGTCTTGGGCTTACACATTCATACTCTTTCACACATTGGCCCATTCTTTCTGAAAGGATGATACCTACTCCCGCTCGATCTTGTTGCATGCCCGCTCGATCTTGTCTACACCAGACCAGTATGCGGTATACATGCCATGTGTAGTGACATCCTTCCCCTTCCTTTTCGTCTCTTTTACGCATAACACATCTATTCCTCTATCATACATCATATCGCATACTTCATCCATTTTATCATTCATTGCCCCACATACATTCAACGTAGCCAGACGGGCCTCTGCAATCCACTTTTCGCCTCTCCGGGAAACAGAACGTGACGGGTGGCGGACCTCGTCGCCGGTTTTCCTCCCGGAGATTCTTCGCACCCCTGCCCCATTAAAGGGGCGCCGGGAACTCGGGGCCATTTCTTTAATCCGATTCCTCATGGTGCGAAATGGGGTGGTATATTTAACGCCGCTACCACGGCGTGGAGCCGAGTCTGTGGTATCGGCTTGTCGCTCATTTAGCACCACCCGGGGGACACGTGTAGGGTGGGCATAGAAACAGGTGGTCAAACCCTACGAGGCCTACGGACGCGAGCGACTTATCCCCCGATGTAAAATTGAAAGAAGAAAAAAAAAGCAATATTAATTTAATTAAAAATTAATTGTGAATTTATTTAAATATGAATCTAAATTGCTGACTCCAATAATTATTTTAAAGGTAAGGTGGTTAGATAATTGATGGCCAAAGCAAAAAGCAATAACAAATGTGTATGGAAAACTACATATAGATTAAAAATAAATGTGTACTTTTGTCTCCAAAATTTCTGAAAAGTACTGTACTGTACTTACTGTACTAAGTAAGTACTACTACTTTTTTGATCTTTTTTCGGCAAAATACTATATTTGTTCAAAAAAAAGGGGGCAGTCCTATCTCAGGGTGACACGATTAACTTGCTTGGCGAGTTTGTCAACGTCGCGTGTGGCGTTTTACGGTACAACAAAAGCAGCAATGGTATAACTCGTACGAATTAACTTGAGACCTGGGCCGATGACGTAATTGTCAATGTACGGTGTGCAAAATAATGCTTCGTAATATTTTTTTATTTGGAATTTTTGAGATTTGCATGAGATTATTAATAAAAACAAAATAAAATGTTCTGGCAAGGGGTGAAGTAATAAGTGATATACTGTTGCCATTTTTATATATTTTAAATATTTATTTTTTATAATATATATAATATTATTTTTAGTTAACGCGTCAAGGAAGGACAAAGAAATAAACATACACACTTTCTCATTTATAATATTATTAATTTATTTATTTTACACTTTATTGCACTATAAAAAGTGTTACAGATTCGTACACAATAAAAATACAAAGCATAACAGGCGACCTTATTGCTAAAAAGCAATCTCAATCAAAGGTGAAAGTGAATCAATCTTGGATAAGCGGAACATCACAAATATGTAAAATCAAGGAATAGAAGTAAGGAATATTAATAAGGATTTATTATAATATTTATTATTCATTGTCACTGTATACGATCGGTTCTATTCCGTCCATTAGATCGTCCTCACTTTCACTCTCTGAGCTGGATTCTTCCCCTCCGAGGGATATAATTAATTCTCTCTTCAAAAGTCCACACCAAACAACAAACAATTATCAAAAATATCGAACTAGAGTCGAGACGCGTATCGGCGCGACGCGTTATAGACGCGGTGCGGGGAGTCGGGAAAGGGGTCGCATTCCAGCGGAGTCTCAAGTTAATTCGTACGTGTTGTAATTGTACAATACGAAAAGTAATAAATTAGTTTGCAAAGGTAAATGTCATAGTAAAGTATTCATCTAGATGTAAATTAATTAAAACAAAAAGGTAATTAGTAAATAATCAACTTACTGATGAAATGTTATGCCTTTATTAGTTTAATTACACATCCTTGATGAGTTTATACAACTGATTATGCTGCAGTGCACCATTATAAATTTATAATAACAAAAATTCACATACGACGTTCCCCGCACAACTAAATCACAAAATGGTGAATTATGTTTATCAACCCATATAAGCGGCGACAAGGTCACGCGTCTTTGCGACTTCTATTGCCTTATTATTACGATTTCTGTGGTTCTAGGGGCTTTCACAAACACATACCGTCACGCTTGTTTGTTACTCAAGTACTAAAAGAGCTCTCGTAAATAATACATAAATTGCATTTACATTGCCATGTTTAACTATTTTCTCTTTGCAGGATACCATGAATCCGTAGGACCTATGAAAGAAAGTGCCGTCTGGGTAGAAGAAGCTGCACCACCATCAGTGCCATGGGGACGTCGTCCCATGTCCCCAACTGCTTATACTCCACCCGACCCCCTGGGTTTGTCCACTGAAGGTGATGATTGTAAGTTTCCTGAGGAGGAATTACATGAGCTGTTTCCTGATGGGTATGTATATGTTTAGACTTTTTTCTAAAACAATTTTGTTTTCTTATTCACACTTGTTTACTTTCTTTTCTTATATTAATATTTGAGACTATTTTTAGTTTCTTACACATGCTTTAAAAAACTAATTGCTTTAAATTCAATATACGAGTACTTAAACAAAAAGTAAGATAAATTATCAATGTTTTTTTTATAGTTCAGGAAAGCTTTCTGATGAAAATTTTCAACCAGGCTGGTACCTTTTGGAACACCACAGCAATACATCTTATGAAGATTTAAAAGCTGGTATGATTTTTCTTCAAAGAAAGGTTAGATTTTTTTAACTTTACTGTGCTCTCTAATATTTTATATTTTAACAGCTTTTTGCTTTAAGTTGTCATGAACATAAGCGAGCTGTGAAATGTTAATAGACCAATGATGTATATTATTATTATTGTAGGGATAACATTTCTGTTTCTTAGCTCTTTGGTTAGTTCTGACTGCATACACGGGCCGAAGCCAAGTAAATGCAGCGTGTAGTGAGTATTTATGTAGGTGGGGTGTTATGGGTAGCTATTTCATTTTCTTCCAATTGCATGAATTTTCTTACAATTCGACAGGTATTTAAAATTGCGGCTTTTTTGAGTCTTTCAGGTCTATTAATTTGAGGCTATGGTGGAGATGGTTGGGTATGACACCCGTGGTGGAGATGACTATGGGGACTATATAAACTTTATTTTGTACCCAAATTCTGGTCACTTCTTCTTTAAGCTCTGCATATTTGCTTATCTTCTCATACCTATTGTTTTTTGTAAGTTATCTGTGTTGGGTATTGCAATATCTATTAGGTAGGTGATTTTACTTACTTTGTCCTGTAGTGATGTCTGGTCTATTATAGTGAATGACTCTGTCGGTAAGTATGGCGCGGTCGTAGTAAAGTTTGTGTGTAGGATTTTCTAAAATAGTTTGTTGAGTGTCATACACGTAGGGCGTGTTTTTGTCTTTGTATAAGTTTATGTTTTGCTAGAATGTATTTGCTACTTGGTTGTGTCTGTGAGTGTAGTCTGTATGTGTAAGAGTTGTACATGCTCCTGTTATATGTTGTATTGTCTCTGGTTGGGTGAAGCACTTGCGGCATTTATCGTTGGTTACTGTGGGGTCTTTAATGACATATTTCCTGTAGTTCTTAGTGTTGATGATCTGGTCTTGTATTGCGATGATAAACCCTTCAGTTTCCGGGAATAGGTTGCCAATTTTAAGCCATTTATTTGATGCTACTGTATCTACATGTGGTTGTTCCAGGTCATGTGGGTGTCGTCCGTGCAGGACTTTCTTTTTCCAGTCCTCTAACTTTTGTTTTTGTGGGTTATTAGTGTTATTGTGTTGTGTGTCTGCGTGTTCATTTAGGTTAAGTGGAGTGTAGTTAAAATCATTTAGGGCTACGGCTTTATGAATGTCACTAGTTCGAGATTTATTGTGAAAGAATGTTTTGAGGCTACTAATTTGTTTCTGCCAAAGGTGTTGAATGTCTATTAGGCCTCTCCCTCCATTTTGTCGTTTGATTGTGTCGAGCGAGAGACGAGCCTTTCTATTGCGTATTTAGGGTGCAAGTTTGGTAGTTGTGGTTCTTTCTATTTGCTGTATGTCAGTTTTAGTCCATTTAATCACTCCAAACGAGTAGGTTAATATTGGGATCGCGTACGTATTTAATGCTTTATTGCTTGTTATTATTATTATATTTTTATCACAAAACTATAATATTATAAATACAATCTATATAAATAATATTATTATTTCGTCTATTATCCACCGCGGCGAGGAATTCTAAGCCATCGGTGAAGTTAGGCATCCAAAGATAGGAACCTTCTTACTATTCGAGCCGTATTTAATAAGGCCGATTTTTGAATTAATGCCTTCAGCCATTTGCCCAAACCTAACTTGGACAGATAATCGTCCATATTTTTACCAATAAGCCCATCGACTGATACAGCTATTGGTACAATAATAGTAGAATCAACGTCCCACATAGCGACAATCTCATAATTTTATTTTTTTATCATTCTCTGCTTTTACGAGATTCTCGTCATGAGGAACACTGATATCCACTATTATTGCCTTGCGTGTAGTTCGGTCTATCACCACAATGTCAGGTTTATTTGCCACTATAAACCTGTCTTGATAATTGACCGATCCCAGTACAGTGTGACACTTCTATTTTCAAGGACTGGCTTTGGTTCTTACTTATAATATGGAACGTCCTGTTGAGTAAAGCCAAATTTAATGGCAAGCTGTTGGTGTATTATTCTAGCTACTTGGTTATGTCTGTGCAAATACTCACCATTTGATAGTTGTGAACAACTGGAAATAACATATCTGAGGGACTCTCCAGGGTGGTGACGTGCGCGACATACGTCAACTGTGCCGTCCCTCAGAATGTATCTCCGGTAGTCGTTCGTTTTAATTACTTTATCTTGTATTGCACAGATAAAACCTTCAGTTTCTGCAAAAAGGTCACCAAATTGTAACCAATGTACTGATGCAACCATGTCTACACAAGGATTAGTCAATGCTTTAAAAAATCGACCATGCAGTTGTTTGTCATTCCAAACCTTTTTGCGTTCATCTATAGTCATAGTATGAGGCCTCTGCCAGTCCTTTGCCGACATATTAAGCGGGGTTAATGATTTGTCATTAATCACTACGTCATTATGAATGTGTGATGTGTCTTTTTTAATAAAATAGTCTCTGAGGTTGTATACTTCACGGTTGTGTAGGTTTTTAATGTTTAATAAGCCCCGTCCACCATCTTTTCTTGGAAGATACAACCTCATGACAGATGATCGTGGGTCACTGATATCCACGATATTCTGTGCGTAGTCATTAATGTACGGACTCGTCTATCTAAGTCATCCAATTCTGTTTGAGACCATCTTGTAACACCAAAAGTATATAGAAGGCTAGGTGTTACCCAGGAGTTATATGCTCTAATTTTGTTTCCGCCGGATAAATGACTTTTGATAACTTTTTTTTAATCTTGACATAAATTTTACTTTTGAATTTTCTTTAATATTTTTGTCTTTAATTCCCAGCGCTTCTGCCATGCCCAAGTATTTATAGGTTTCTGTTTCAGAAAGAGAACTGAAATGTAAGTCATTTGTAATTGCAAAATTATTACAATCTTTAATTTTGCCCCCATTTACGTTGATGACATCACATTTATCTATTCCAAATTCCATTCTAATATCATTGTTGAAACTATGTGTTAATTTCAACAATAATAGTAGATTACTCTCTTTTGATGCGAATAGTTTGAGATCATCCATATAAAGTAGATGTGAGATCGGTGAGTTTTCTTTTCGAAACCGAAACCCTAATCCGGATTCCTCAATAGCAGTGCTTAAAGGATTCAGGGCTAAACAAAACAAAGTTGGGCTCAAACTATCGCGGAATATACCCCGTTTAATATTTATAGAGTCTATCGGACTACTTTGCCACTCACCTGGTAGATTTAGGATAGTGTTCCACTGACCCATTAATTTACTTAAAAACTTACAAATTTTGTCATCTATTATGTCAATCTAGCCATGAATGTGGAACAGAGTCATATGCCTTTTTGTAATCCACCCAAGCAGCGGACATATTTTTGCGATTACAAAAGACTTGTCGGCAAATAGCAGTGTCAATGAAAAGAAGTTCTTTACAACCACGTTACCCTTTCCGACATCCGTTCTGTGCTGTTAAAAGAATGTTATTATTTTCCAAATGTTTATAGATCTTGTTATTCAAAATTGCAGTTATTATTTTGTATACAGTTTAAAGGCAGGTCGGTAATTTTTAGTTTTTTATTATTATTATTATTATTCTAGGTTGAGGGTCAAAAGGAAGGTCAATTGAGTTTTCTCAAGGCCAACACAGGGGCAGTGATGGACCAATTAGATCGTTTGGTGCTTTTAAAGAACATGTATGAAGAAGATCACAGGAAAAATGGTAGAGAGCCTCTACCAAGCTTACAATCTGCTATAGAAGGTGAGATTCAGTAATTGATACAACTAAACAGTACCTATCATTCATTCATTACGGCCGAACGAAATTCTAATGCTGAACATATGCCTGCCAAAGATTTCAAAAGGAAGGATAGGCCCATCTAAATATTTTACACATAACTTTTTCATACAAGAAAAAGTAGCGCATCTGTCATAATACAAACGTCATATCAAAACGCGACGTAACCAGGGTCGGATTTCGTAGTATAATTATTCTAATTGCACCATTATTCCATAGTTTGTAGTAATAGATAATATCGTAATAATACTAAGCGAAAATACCATAATTTTTCCTAAAGGTCGACTTGTATTATTATTGAGTCCTTTTACTTAATATATTAACCCTACGATATCGAGAATTTCTGTTTTGCACATTAGTACCGCATTTTTTAATAAAATTGGAATTAGCACCCTTTATAGTCCATCGATGCTCGATCGATCTTTTTCTTTTGTACTCTTTTCGTTTTATCCTTATTGAATATAAAATATATTAGGTACCAATATTCAAAATTTAACATGCACTAAGTTCTTTAGACAAAAATTAAACAGAAATAAAAATAAAACCGTCAAAAAACGAAACCTATAGATAAACTAGACGCGTGACGCCATAATCCTGGCACGTGGGAAAAAAGAAAGATGAAACGTCAAACGTGATATAATTTTTTTAAAATATTATAGAATTTATTTTCCATGTACAATATTTTTGAAGGTCTGAATTCAACCCTGGCCTAATCTTGGTAACGTAACTAAACTAACTGTAAAATAAAACTAAAAATGCGTTTATATAGTAATTTAATTGTAACAAAATTAATATAAGGTTATTTACCGATCATACGATATCCCATGTTTTTTTTCTTTATATCGTAATTTTTGCATTCTTTTACCACAAAACTAGACATATTTGTGACAGGCAAATCTGTCCTGCGCGCGCACCACGATTCGCGATTCGCATTGGCCCTAACTGTAATTTTAGGGCCCATGCATTGGTCCGTGTTAGTTATTCGATCGGCCCGGTCCTTACGCTAGTAATATATAAGTCAATAATGCCTGCCCTATAAAATATATTACATTTACCTTGGCTTGGCGGGTTCGCACAGTTTTTATTATTTTAAGTTGTCCATATCCTGAATCATTTCGCTCTATCACTTCTTTCGACACCCTCGATATACATATACGGATTTATATAAAAAAGCGGTCTAGGTGCGACCCGAAAGGTCCAGACGACTGACTTCCCAGTGGAAAGAATAAAAAATATCAGTCACAAAAAAAACCACCAAAAGGAAAAAAAAGGACAGTCTTTTTGTTATAAAATAAGGGTGACAACCGAGCACACAGTCCACCCGATAGTAAGTGGATTCTGTGGCCCATAGACATCTACATTTATCCTCGATTAATAATCAAAACGCATATGCATTGTAACCCCTAAGGACTAAGATATAATGCCTCGTTTCCAGTAAAAAAGGGTCTCCGGATCTCTACACTCACCATACGAAACACAACCGTATTAAGCCGGTATTTTACGCTGGTATTCTGTGAGAGCGTGGCACTTCCCCAGTCGAGCCGAGCCATTCGTGCTACAACCATAATATAGCTGCAGCGTGGCTCTACTACGTATAAAAGCTTAGCTTCTCGTCGGCATATACTGTTTTGCCTAGTAAAACCGCGTGGCATGGCACACTGTCGCATGCAGCTTAAGGTGTTACCACACAAATTGATCGATTGTCGATCGATGGTGAAATGGTCGATGTCAATTGATTATTTATACCATACCGGTCGATCGATGGTAGAATGGATTGGTCGACATCGATCGAGCGGCTTGATTATTCGAGAATTCGCCACACACCGATTAATTTGTCGATCAACGTCCATCGATGAATGAACAACGTTTTAGCGACCAGTATCCGTCGAACAGCTAAAGCTACCATACCAATCGATCGATTGGTACAGTAACACCCCAAGTTATCTATAATGTATTTTTTTTGTGGTTAGATTTAATGAGCATCTCTTGCGTTTACTTTGTGGCTTTTTAATTCGTCCTACATAGTTGATAACTTATAATTATTTAGACGGGTGCGACCTCTTCTAAAATCTACAGGGGACAAATAAAGCATTATTTTTCTGATAACGAAATAAAATAATGGTAATATATTTTTTTTTAATTTTCAGAATCAATTTCATTGGCTGATTCCTTATTCTCCGAGATTTTATCGCGGAAAGAGAACGCGGATAACACTCGAGAGGCATTGTCTCTACTTACGCGTCACAAGTTCCTTTTTCAACTTCCTTCATCCATTGACAAGAATATTAAGAAAAAGGAATATGACTTGGTTGTTAACGATTATACAAGAGCGAAAAACTTATTTGGAAATACTGATGTTAAGGTATTTTAAACCATTTAGGCAAGTGGTAGTTCGAATGGTAAAAAATCTGTAAAAAATGGGTAAAAAAATCTCGTGTCAGGACACGAGACCCTGATCGAAAATTCGTAAGACGGATGAGAGAGGAGAGATAGAGAGAGAGAGAGAGAGAGAGAGAGAGAGAGAGAGAGAGAGAGAGAGACAGCCGGCGCGGCGTAGGAGAGGAAGTATCTCCCACTCTTTCTACGGCGCGGCGAAAATGTATGCCTGCCCCTGCTGTTTCGTTTAGGCGGCGCAGGGCGCTTGCGCAAATGTTCGTGTGTGATAATTAAAGCAATTCGTGCAAAATTATTCCCTAATCATTCCAAAATATCAAAAATTCACAACGTTAATATTCAAGTTTTCACTTCTGCCGGCACTCCCGGAGTGCAACCCGTCGTTTTTTTTTTTATAGAAGAGGGAGCAAACGAGCATACGGCTCACCTGATAGTGATTCTCGCAGCCCATGAACAACTGCAACACCAGGGGGTTTGCATGTGCGTTGCCGACTTTAAAAAAAGGAGTAAGCTCTTTTCTTGAAGGTCCCTAAGTCTTATAGGTCCGGAAAAATCGCGGGTGGTAAATGATTCCACATTCTTTGTGGAATCGTCGTTTCGTCGTCGTCGTGGGAACACTCACCCACGTTTCCAGTGAGATTTGTATCTTCCCCACTTGACTCGTTTGTCTAGTGGTCATCAGCGCGACTGCTGATCATAATATGGTCCTTGGTTCGAATACCGGGTCAGACCAAAATCATTTATTTGGGTTGTTCTGTTAAAAAATTCTCAGTAGTAGCCCGGAGACAGGAAGTTGGCGGTGTTTCATCCCTGTGCCTTGGAAATCAGTCTTCAATCGTGTCGGATGGCTATTCCATCGGACTATGAGAAGCGAGAGAATAGAGTGCATCTGTACTTGTACACCTGTGCTCTATAATCCTGTCCTGAGCAGATGGCTCGTCTCCACCGAGACCGGCAGCCGTGACCAAAATTCAGTGTGTGGGATATACTTACCAATCAACCTGTCAAGTGTAGCTTCCGTCTATTCTACAGATGTAGATCCATTTGTTGGTATGATTGGATCTTTTTCAGAAAATACAAGTCAGTTGTTAAATTGTGGGTTTGAACAGGCTTAAAGTATAATCTACTATTTTTTTATATTCTCTTTTTGAGTCTATTATTGCATATATGCAAATTTAAGACAGCTTGATAAATTTCAACAACCACATTTGTACAACTAACACTAATTCTAGATAATGTAACGCCTTTTAAATCACTGTTACAGCTCTTTCAAAAAATATTGACCGAGATAGACAAGAAAATAGAAGAGCTAAAAGAAAATCTGTATAACAGAATGAAAACCATGCCAATTAATGTTCAGGAACAAACCAAATATATCAGGTGAAAATTATTTCTTTGATAAATTAAGTTGATCTGCCATATATTCCGTTGGTTTATATATATACATATGAGACGACAGAGGGGTATTAGAACAGGAGATTAGCTTCAGCATATTCCTATATACGCTCAAAATAATAAGAACTGTGCGGAAACTGCAGCTTTGAAACCCCTGCCAAAAGTAGAAACTATGGCACATGTTGCTCCAATCTCTGGGGGAGGCTTTTCTTCAGCAGTGGAATTTTGGTGAGCAGCTAAAATCCTAGTAATAATTTCTTACTCGGATTTTAGGTGCTGGTAAGATACATTATATAGCATTATAAGTAATAAAGTAAAATGATATATCTTACCTAGTTTGAAGAGCACCTCCCGCCCTCCCTCAATTTCGTGCACTATCTCCTTGACCACTAATCCCCGCACCACTACTCCCAATACCACTACCCTAGGAAAGACACACCACTGTCGATATTACGACACGTGTTTCGCCTCTACACGACCTGAGTGCCTCGTTTATTTTACTCCGCGGATCTTCGCTGAGTAATTTTTAACACCGTCATATATAATGGATTTCCGTAAAGTAACGCCTGATTCTATTAATGATTGAATGAAATTAATTATTTTTTATTATGTCCATTTTCTGTCATTTCAGGCTGCTGATAAGCTTAAATTGGGATGGTGATGCTGCTTGGACAGCTATTTTAAGTCGAAAGGATTATTTAATGACACTTATGAACAAAGTAAAAGAGCATTTCAAACAAAAAGAGGAGCAAGAATCCAATGAAAAAGGTAAAGTCACGTTAATTTAAATAACAACATATTGATGTAATTGTCGTGGGGTGGTTCCGTAATGCCGGGGCCCTACAAATGGCTATAATGCAAATATTCGCGTTATTGCGATGTGTGTAGCCACATATTCGTGAATAATTCGTCACTTCGTGCAAAGGCGCAAGGTACATCGCTTCTCTGTCGGTAAACTCTCGAACACCAAAGCGTTCTTTCGCGATAGACTACGCTTGTGCGGCCGCACTTCAGTCTGCCCACAGACATCGTGCGTTGCGGAACTACGAAAAAAAGCGAACTACGTCGCAAATCCCAAGTAAATTGGGATTTGCGACGTAGTTTCGCCAAAATGACAATTTTTGAAGTAATGAGAAGATGAATTTTATGAGCTATTTTGAGTAAATAATGCAAGTGCAAAAGCTGTCCTGTTGCTAAAAACCTAGTAAAAGTTATGATTCGCTGCCAATAATATGCAATATAGAGCGACCGCGGCGTCCATTTTGTGTTTATCGCGATAAACTTACAACGCGCAGTGTGGCCAGGCATAAGATAATCCATCACTTTATTTCTTCAATTGTTGGATTGAATTCAAAGCTATAGCTTAGGCATGATTTCAAGCCTATGCCATAGAGCATGTACATGATAAGTTTGGAAGAAAAATAGGAAAAGAGATCCTGCCCCTGCTAATTTGAGAGATCTTAAAAATTAATGAATGTCGTTAACCTCTCAGTGAATTTATTGATAACTGTGGCTCCAGGTGATAGAGCCACGTTGCAGCTATATTAGGGTTGTAGCACGAATGGGTCGGCTCGATCGGGGTAGGACCACGCTCTCACAAAATACCAGCGTAAAATAGCAGCTTAGTACTGCTGTGTTTCGTATGGTGAGTGTAGAGAACCTACCTTTTTCACTGGAAACGAGGTATTCCATCCTCATTTCGAGGACCGACCTTGGGGGTGACAACGCATTTTCATTTTGATTCTTACTTGAAGATAAATGAAGATGTTTATGAGCCACAGCATCCACTTACCATCGGGTGGACTTATTCTATAAAAAAATATATTATATTTTTTAATATATCGCGTTTTTAAAACAGACTAATAAGTATAAAACTTCTTTTTTTCGTGTTTAAATTTCAAGTTTTTAGCTTTAAAATCTGGTCTAGTAGTATTCATGTCTTACGATTTCAGCCGACTACTATTACACTGCCCTTCGCATGGTCTAACTGGTTCTGGGTATCAACACGTTAGATGTTTGCGCCCGCAAACCTTTTTGGCGTTTTTTTGGCTAGATCGGTAGAATATAATAATAATATTAAATTGAAAATTAAAAAAAAACCCGAAATCAAAAGAGCTTTCTTGAATCATAGCTGAAAACACTCGATCAAGTCACCTTTCACAAAAAAAAAATAGATCTGAATCGGTTCATGCGTTTGGGAGTCACAAAAAGACTCACATAATGTACACATGTTAAACATATAACACCCCTCTTTTTCGTCGGGGTTTAAAAAAAAAACTAATATAGCAACCGAGGCTCCTCGAATGTGTTTTGAACGGAGATGCCAGGACCCCTCATAATTTATTTTTCTTTTGGGTATAAGAGTGGTCAATAGTCAAATCAACATTTCAACTGAGTACCCACACTCACAACCCATTACGTATGGTGTGTCTCAGGGTAGTATCTTTGGTCCAACATTATTTTTGGTGTATATTAACGTGAAGGTGGTTCCATATTCACATATGCTGACTAAAAACCAAAACTAAAGTACTAAATACTTCTATACGAAAACTAAATTTTTCTATACGAAACAGTTCTCAATCATTAGCAAATTTTGTCATAATTATTTGGCCAGTCTATATTTGTAGTGACACTTTGGTATTGTCACCATAATTTTCATATTTTGCATTTAAAGGTATTTAGATTACAATATGTATATGACATACTGGTGTTCATTTTAGTAAAATTAATGAAAAATGGTAGTTAATTCGCTTGCAAAGCGTGGCAACCAAGGTATTGTTACGAGTTTGAGGTTCGTGACAATAAAAATTGCCGATAGAATTACCTAGATAAACACTTTAATTCACTTTACACTAATTAAAGTTAAAACACTAGTAATTAATCACACTAATTCACTTTATTTCGCCCCGAAGCTTCGCTTGTCTCGCCGAATTCAATACTTCCCCAATCGCATCTTGCAGCGCCTATTTATATAAATTAGCACGGAAATATCCAGAATATTCAAGTAAATACGCGCAAGGTACCGAGAGTTCGAGTTTCAACTAGGCGCTAGTGCCGTCGACTAAGGCGCGTAACACTGCCCCCTCCTAAGACATGCTCGTCCCGAGCATTATCGGCCCCATAATAACGCGCCAGGCGATCCACATGGACGATCTTAGGAGTCGCTCTTGCGCCTTTCTGTATCCGGTAGGTTACATCGTTGATCCTGGTCACAATCCGGTACGGGCCATCCCATTTAGCTTGAAGCTTAGGAGATTTCCCTTTGCTGCGGACTGGATTGTGCAACCACACAAGTGAACCTTCTTTGTTGTTCATTTTGCGGTCGTACCGGGTTTTCATCTTTTCAGACATTTGCTGGCCCGATTGTCTGACGTGCTCATAAACGTCATTCATTTTGTTCCGCAAGTCATTTGCATAATCGGTTATACTGCGTGGAGCATCAGGTGGTATCCCGGTGATCAGGTCTGCAGGCAGCCGTAATTCTCTTCCAAAGTTTGCGAAAGCTGGTGTCACTGCTGTACTTTCGTGAACAGCGCTTCGATATGACAACAAAAACGGTTGTATGTGCTTGTCCCAATCTCGTTGCCGATTATCTACAATTTTTGCTAGGTACCTCTCCAATGTCTGATTAAATCGTTCTACCATTCCATCAGATTGCGGGTGATAAGAAGTCGTTCTTGTTTTATGACTACCCATAACTCGGCAAGTTTCCTGGAATATTTCAGACTCAAAATTCCTTCCTTGATCGCTGTGAATCTCTAAAGGTACTCCAAAACGACAAAAGACTTCATGAACTAGTTTATCTGCAACTGTTGAAGCTTCTTGATTTGGAATGGCGAAGACTTCTGGCCACTTAGTGAAGTAATCCATCACAACCATGAAATACTTGTTACCGCTTTCACTCTCCGGAAACGGCCCCGCCACGTCAATGGCTATTCTCTCCCATGGTGCACCAACATTGTACAACTTCAATGCACCTCTACTACGAGTCTGAGGTCCCTTTACAGCCGCACAACTTGTACATTTGCGACACCAGTCCTCGACATCGTTTCGACAGTGGACCCAGTAAAACCGTTCTCGGATCTTCAGTAGAGTTCGTTTAACTCCCAGATGGCCTCCTGAATAATCATTATGGTACAGCTGTAGAACATCCGGTACTTTAGCTTTAGGGACAACCATTTGTAAATGACAGCTGCCTCTCCCCGAACATTTTCCCATTTACGGCACAGAACTCCATCCTGAAGCAGCAAGCTGTCCCATTGGGACCAATATCTTTTAGTGATCGAACTCATCGCTGAGACGTCGCTCCACTTGGACTTGGAAGCACTGGCCTTCATCCATTCCAGAATCGGCTTGATGTCCGAATCTTCCTGCTGTGCACGTTGTAAGCTGTCCTTCCACTCGTTGATAAGGTGGTCTGTCCTGAGCATCCTCACGGATACCACTTCCTTACTCTTTTGCCTAGTACAATGTTTCCAATCTTCAGGACAAGGTCTTCTTGACAATGCATCTGCGATTGCCATGAGATTTCCCGTTGCGATGTCTGATAGTAAAGTCGTATCCCGGCTGCTGCTGGGCGGTGATGTTAGCCGCACTTCCCTTCTGTGATCGTTCACCTTCCCTTTCTAGGGTTCGCTTAGGGCAGCTGGATCGAAGATGGCCCCTTTTCCCACAGCCATAGCACCTAGGGCTGTATCCTTTGTTGCAGTCGCGAACTGTAGCTGCTGCAACCTCCCTGACGCGATGGGAACGATGATCCTGCCGCACGGCTTCCACCTGCAGTGCATGGGCCAAGGCGTCCTTAAGCGTCTCGTGGTGCCCAGCCTCACAGCAGCTCTGACTTCCAGGTCGCGGATGCCGTCGATGAATGTCTGACCCGGTTCCCTTCAATGAGCGCAGGTACAGACTGGTATGCTTTTCGAACCATCTTCTCCACCTCAAGGGCCCACTGCTGCAGGTTTCGTTGCTGCGCTGCACGCGATCTTTAAGCTGCGCGCGAAAGACGTTTTCCAGGTGAGCGTCGCCATATCTCGCCTCCAATGCCTCAAGGAGCCGCTCGTAGGTCACTTTCTTACCGAGAGCTTCCAACAAAGTTGAGGCTTGCTCGCGCAGGCCTAGGATGAGTGCAGTCATGGCTTGGCTTTTATTCCAGCCGTTCGCCTCCATGACGGCCTCGAACTGGATTTTGTAGGCCGACCAGGAAGAGGTCCCGTCGAACGGCGGCACTTTGAATCCACGTAGCGAAGGTGTTGTAGCTACTACGGGAGCTGTTGTTCCATCCCCAAGTTTGAGGTCGTCCAGCGTTTTCTTCACGTCAGCCATTACGTTGTCAACCCGATTGTTTACTTGGTCGATTCGGGTTTCAGCTTTCTCGATTTGGGTTTCAGCTTCCGTCAGGCGGTTGTCATGCTGAGCAACCCTATCCTTCACCTCCTTTATCTCCTTCCCGAAGGTAGCGTGAAGGTCCTTCATGAGGAGCATCTGCTCTTCCAACCGACGGGCCTGTTTCTCCTGTCCGCCCCGCAGCTGCTCTTCCAATCGGCGTGCCTGTTCCGCCTGCTGGCGAGCCTGTTCCTCCTGTCGGCGAGCCTGTTCCTCCTGCTGCTCTTTCAACCAACGGGCCTGTTCATCCTGTCCGCCCCGCAGCTGCTCTTCCAACCGACGAACCTGTTCCTCCTGTCGGCGAGCCTGCTCCTGCAGCATCACCATCAGAGCACCTAAGTCAGGTGTTGCAGATGTAGGAGCTACTGACGGGCCTGCAGCCGGCGGGCGACCCTCCGCCGTCTGCGGCGTTGTACCACCAAATCTTCTTTGGTCCGTCTCCTGCTGGCGTTGACTTCGGGTACGGACACCCTCCGTTTCCTCCTTAGGTAAAATCGGCATGATTTTATCCCACTTCTGACACCAATTGTTACGAGCTTGAGGTTCGTGACAATAAAAATTGCCGATAGAATTACCTAGATAAACACTTTAATTCACTTTACACTAATTAAAGTTAAAACACTAATAATTAATCACACTAATTCACTTTATTTCGCTCCGAAGCTTCGCTTGTCTCGCCGAATTCAATACTTCCCCGATCGCATCTTGCAGCGCCTATTTATTCAAGTAAACACGCGCAAGGTACCGAGAATTCGAGTTTCAACTAGGCGCTAGTGCCGTCGACTAAGGCGCGTAACAGTATATTTACTACTCTTTAAGTGACAACTATGACAAAATTACCCCAAAAAATCTATGGGGGGAGGCCTATGTTCACCAGCTGACTTTCATAGGATGTAGATGAGGGGTGGACCACTTAGGATTTGGAATTTGAATCGACTATAAAAAAGCTAATGAATATTTTATCAAAGTTATGAATTTATTAGAAAGATTATACCTTTCCATTTAGGAATGAAAGACAACATCATTGCTCTAGCCTTACATCCCCTTGGATCAGTCCAATTTTTCAGTACATTTTCGATTGTTTGGCCCTTTCTTTCGTCAATGGCAACTTGGATTTCATATGTCAATTTGTCAATCGTCTCTGAACGGTTAGCGTAACACCTGTCTTAAATGGCTCCCCACAAAAAAAGTCCAACGGAGTCCAATCGCATCTTCGAGGTGGCGAATTGACATCAGCATTTCGGCTGATTATGCGATTTTCGAAAAACTGCGCAAAAGATCAATTGTTACGTTAGCTGTGTGTCACGACGAGTGGTCTTGTTGAAGCCAAATGTCTATGTATGCATCCTCTTCAATTTTGGGAAACCAAAAATCGTTTAGCATGGCACGGTAGCTATCGCCACTTACGACGTTTTTTGCTCATTTTCAAAGAAAAATGGTCCAATAATGCCGACAGACCAAAATTATCACCAGACTGTCTCGTTGTGAATACATTGGTTTCTTCACGATGACGTGTGGATTTTCTGAGCCCCAAATACGACAATGTTGCTTATTAATGTATCCTTCGGGGTGGGCTTTATCTGAAAAGACGATTTTTAGGTAAAAATGCTCATCTTCGATCAAAGCGGTCTTCGGTCCATTGAGCAAACCAAAAACGCATCGGATGGGACTTGGATCGAACTTTGTACGCGTTCATACCGAGAACTTTATGCAAAATTTTTCTCAAAGAAGTGTGTGAAATTTTCAATTTTTGAGAACGATGACGAGTTGATATTGATGGTTGTTCACGCACACTCTGAGCAACAGCAACGATGTTTTCGGTTGTGCGCACTGGATGAGTACGTACACGGGTTGTTTTATTTAAGAACGATCCAATTTCACGAACTCGCTTCACAAATTGATCCACAAACTGCGTTTTTGGCACATCCTTCTTGTCAAATTTTTCCGTGAATTTTTGACAGTTTGAGTCACTCACTTTGGAAATAAGTTTTTAATATTGCACGACTTTGTTCTTTTATCCATTATTCTATGCCAGTGCTTAACTACAATCCCGTCTGATGGTATATGGTGATGTAGCCTAAGATGGCGAGGCTCACTGACTTAATGAGAGCCTATTCACTCTTGCCTTGAAGACACCCACACTGTAATTGCATGGATAGACAGATGCTGACAACTTATTCCACTCCTTTGCTGTACGCATGATGAACGACGTAGCAACCCGTTTGGTTCGAATGTGAGGTAACTCAATAACTAAAGGGTGGAGACTGGCCGAACGTTCGGTTGTCCTATGGTGGAAGGGAGAGGGAGGAATTAGATTATGCAATTCCTGCGCACACTCCGAAATGCAATCTGTAAAAAACCGAAAGGTGGCTACTTTGCGGCTGTGTTCGAGGCTGGTAAGATTGGTTTTAACCAGATTCAGGTCACCAATAAGCCTCTTAGCACGTCTTTCCATTGGGTCCAAGACTTAGGTGGCATTTTGCAGCACTAGCCCAGCACTACTCCTAGCTTCCTTGCAGCTGCTTTGACTTTTAGACTCAATGAACCGCCTGAAGTTCAGATTTGAGTATATCTCAACCCCCAACAACTGTAGGCGGTCAGTGTATTCCAGTGATACATTTCGAAAATAAGGAGTCAAGGTGAGCTGGCTCCTTTTTGCAGTGAAGAGACATGCTTGTGCTTTGGAGGCGTTTCATCTCACAAGATTGGCATCGCCCCATTACCGGGCATGAGCAGATCATTAATATGCAGCAGAAAGAGAGTTGGGGAGGAAACGGACCCCTGAGGAACACTGGCGTTAGTCGCCATAGGATCGGAAGAGCAGCCATCAACGACGACATAGAAAGATCGTTCACTCAGAAAGTCCTTTACCCAGTCAATCAGATCTTCAGAATCAGATCCAAAAGGCTAGCATGTCAAACTCTGTCAAAGGCCTTCGAGACATCAAGTGAAAAAGCAAGTGCTTCCCCACTGTTCTCGAGTGCCTCGCCCCATACGTGTGTGGCATACGCTAGAAGGTCCCCAGCTAACCAATTTCGGCGAAACCCTTATTTCCGGTCACTAAGAAGGTCATTCTGTTCTAGGTATACTATTATGCGGGCGTTCAATATAGAACAAGAGGCAATTGAGATTGGTCGATAATTGATACGGTTCAAGCGAAATGCGGCTCATTTCATAAATGTCACACATAAAACTAACTTTCTGTCACTTAGGAAATGTCATCAAACCTTATCAAAATAACCTATAGTTCCGATCCCAAACGTTAGATGGGATGGATTTTTAATGGAAAGTAGTGAAGTTTAAGCTGGTAGGAATCCGGTATAACCTTTTTTAGCATTGGGTGACAAACGAGATCCACCTGGATTGTAAGTGGATGCTGTGAGCCATAGACATCCACATTTATCCTTAATTAAGAATCAAAATACAAATGCGTGGTCACCCCTGAGGACTAAAATAAAATGCCTTGATTCCAGTAAAAAGGTTTTCCGGTTCTGTACACTCACCGTACGAAACACAGCAGCATTACGCTAGTTTTCTGTGAAAGCGTGGTCCTGCCCCGGTCGAGTCGACCCATTCGTGCTACAACTATAATAAAGCTGCAGTATGGCAGCGGGAGTTAACCATGAAGATATCATGCCAGTGTTTGGGGTTAGGGCGACGGAGAGCGCGCGAGAGCGAGGGCTCGGGTGCGTGGGGTGCGATGCGCGCGGCGTGGTGCGGCGCGGCGTGCGGCGCGCTGGCCGCCGAGCTGCACGCGCTGTGGCCGCTCGCACGCCGCTACTTCGCCGGCGAACTGGCTGGCGAGCCCGCCGCGCCGCAACGGCACGCCGACCTCAAGGTGACCGCCCTTCAACATGTGCCCGCCCACTTACTTTATAGATTGTGTGATACTAAACTTGCACTGGACCGGACCGGACACGACTTGGTCAGTTGATCAACTTTACCGAGCAGTTCTGCTGCAGTGTTGTCGTTGTCGCTTAGTGCGTGTTGTCTCATATAATTTCATATAAAGAATATTTTGACGCGTCGTGTCGCTCAGTTTCGCCTAGTGCGGTCTTACCTTAACTGAGTCAGCCAGTCTGCCGCAGCGGCACTACTTCAACGTGAATGCCTTAAGGATGTGGTCGCCTACTTTCTTGCAGTTTGTGTGTTACTGCGTCTACGACTAGGTTGGCCAGTCGGCTGCATCGGCACAGCTACCTCATTAGTGCCTTGAGGATGTACCCTCCATCGTTCTCTGTAGATTACTCTTTAATGCCCCCACGAGCTGGCCGGACCGGTCGCGCTGCAGTGGCACACCGAACACAAGGTGACCGGCCTTGGGGCGTATCCGCCCACTTACTTTGTTCACTCTGAATACATTCTCGCCAAATTTCTCTGTAGGTTGTACGCTAGAGCACTCCGAGACTAAGCCGAAAAGTCCACCGCAGCGGCGACACACTGACTTCAAGGTTTAAATATAGTACTTATAATTTGTAGACTCAGACTTAAAATGCTTTGCGCACTTTTAAAATGAAAAAAAAAAATTAAGAAGCTCCTCCCGAGCACCCAGTTATGCCGCACGTGTTGCATATTTCATTCGTATCGTCTGTTTTAATACATAGTACTTCAATGATTAAAAAGGATATTATCGTGGTCCGCAGGAAATGATAATCGCGGCGGTGGAGTCGTTTTCGGAGCAAATGCGCGCGTGCCTGCTGGTGGGTGGTGCGGCTAGCGGTGCGGGGGGCGTGGCGGGTGCGGGGGGCGCAGGCGCGGACGTGATGCGCACGCGCCTCGTCGCCAACCTGCGACACCTTCGCGACGCCTACGACTCGCTGCTCAAGCTGGACCTGCCCTCGCAAGTATGAATTTATACATTTCTTTAGTAACTAAAGTCTTTGCTTTATAGCATGGTGCGTGTTATAGCTTATAGTTTGGCGTGCTAGAAGTGGAACAACGTTAAATCGATTTTAAAAAGGTGATTATCGATACACAAAGCAAAGCAAAAATTATCGATTGGCTATCGATATAAAAATTAATACCGAAACATATATTTCTTTATAAACTACAATGCATTTAAAACTAAGTAAAAGTTTAATACAAATTATGACATAATAGTTACATAATATCTGTTCCCACGACCCTAATCGCGTGGTGTCTCTTGTCACTCTAAATGTTGCCGTGGTTTTAGAACCTAGTTAGAGACGATGGCAGGAGACTCGACGGTATGACATTGGTTCCTTGGGAGAAGTAAAGCCCTAGTGTGGGGTGCTATCACTGACCACTTTATATACAAGTACGCTGAACTGACTATACAACGTGACATGATAAGAAGAGCGCCATTTTGGCGCTGACAGCAGAAGTGCACGTCCACGGAACTAATAATAGGGATAAGACAGTGTGACAAAATATATCGATAAAAATTCTATACCCTACCTATACCTAAATAAATAGAATGGACTCTATGGATAGATGGACTCTACCCGTAACGCCATTCTATTTATGTATCATATTAATAAAATGCCACTATCTTTCATCATCATTAAAGCCCTTTACAAGTCCACTGCTGAACATAGGCATCCCCCAAGGAATGCCACAAATCACGGTCCTAAGCCACCTGCATCCATCAACTTCCTGTATGTCTTACCAGGTTTTGACTCCATCTAGTGGGGGAACTTCCGACACTTCACCTGCCGGTACGAGGCTGCCACTCGAGAACCTTTTCCCCCATCGGTTATCGGTTCTTCGAGACATATTGCCACTTCAGCTTAGTAATTTGTTGAGCGATGTCGGTGACTCTAGTTCTATTACCGATATCCTCATTCCTAAGTTTATCCTCTAAGCATTCCAGCTTCGGCAGTGCCACGTATTCTAGGGGGCTTGACATATCGCAACCCGTGGGTTCTTGATCGAACACTTAATTGCCTTTGTCGGTGGATGTTGCGCAAGAGGAAGCTGCCGAAAACCGTGAATGTAAACGATGGCCAGAATTTGTAAATAAGAAATAAACTAAAGTAGGGCCACTACGAAGTTAAAGCACTAATTAAATCTTGAGACTCGAGAGAGAACTAAATCTCTACTCGCACTTACTGAAACCCCATGGTGTTCTACCTCCACCGCAAATTGAAAGGGTCACGGAAACACTTTCATGCACACCCGCGGCCCCTCCGGCGCTGGCCGCCCAACGGCAGCACCTCCTTAGTTGTTGACTTCTCCCCCTCTCTTTTCTTCTCAGATAAGGCGCATCAGAAACACACCTCTTCCCTGACGACTCCACCTTGACTACAGCGGTACAGGGAGAGGAATCTCCTCTAGCCGCAGCCCACTAACACACATCCAACGTGGCTCGATATCATCAGGCGACCTTTAGACACTTGGCTATGGCCCTTGAGTTTGGGGGAAAATGAGGAAAGAAGAAATAAAAAAAAAACATTCGGAATAATAATCTAATACTTTTATACTTACACATACTGGTACTACCAGAAAATATTGTCGAAATACTGCACTTTTTCAAAGTGGTGCAGTTCTCATGTCTAATAAAACAGTCGTCTGTGAAATGTTCAGAACAAATATGATCATTTTGTTACAGACGTTTATTCACAATATTTATGCTTTTAAGCTATAATTTTAGTCTAGGTTCAGTTGGAAACCTGTTAATTAATAAACATTTGATAATCATCTTTTGTTGCAGACTTTATTTGTTAACAGATATGGGTAGGGAAAAACATCGATAAGTATTATAGACAAGGAACTCGACAACCCTATTGAATTTTATTGTTTATCAAAACTCAGTAATATACAGCCAAACATGTTGGTATATATGATATTAAGATTAATAACAAACTTTTAAGTACTTATATTATAAAATAGTTTTAATTTATTTAATATTAGCTGCAAATTCACTTACTTGTGAAATGTTATACCACTTCGCTTTTGGTAACGAGTTTTACAGATTACGCACACTCTCATTGTTATTAAAAATAATTCTTATCATGTAACTAATATTATACACAATCAAACAACATAAAATACTTTCGATTTTTAGTTTAAAAGTTCAAAATACAGATTTTTTAAATATGACAATTTAAATAAGACAACAGAATTTGGCATATTATGTCAATTTTAATTCCGAGACGACCGTTAGGGGTGCTTCAAATTGACATAGACATTTTGTATGGTATAACCAGTCCAGCGTACTTGTATAAATAGAGGTCAGTGGGTGCTATCGAATTAAATACATCAGCTGTTTCTGGGAAACCTTACGATACAGACAATATATCTATTTATCTATGTCGTTAAGATGTAAATACTAAATTCTAATATCTTTTTTAACCAAACAGTTGTTATTTTGTGTGCATTTCAGCCACTAAGTATAGTGGAGAAGGTGATATTCGACTACCGCGTGCACGGGATGACCGTGTTTTTGCAACGCGCCCACAAACGTGTCAAGAGTCTCTCTGAAAAAGAAAGTTGGAAGATTGAAGAGTTCTCAGACTATGGTGCTATTACTAATCTGGTAGGAAAATCGAGTATCGATAATGATTTCTTATATTTACACGAATATTCTGAATAAAACTAATTTCATAGATTTTATCTTGTTTAGTTTTGCTTATTTTAATTCTCGATGTTTCGAGTGCTTTACAAAGCCCATGGTCACGGTGAGGGGGGAGTGAGTCTGAGGTGTTTGATGTAATTAAATTTTAGTCTGATTAAAGAAAAACGAGCTTACAGTATCTTAGACTTGCAGTAGTATGCTTGGGTTGTGGACTTATTTTTATTAAATATAGGATGCCAAGCAGATGGTAGCACCCATCCACCTTCTCTATTGAACTTAAAATGTTTTTAATTTCAAAAGCCTCACCAATAATCCTTGATAGGAATCTGTGTTCTTTTGCAAGGATTTGAGGTCTATCTAATCTGATGTAATGGCCCTCAGTCCGCCCCGTGACCCAAGTTAAATTAAACAAGATTAACTTCTTAAAATTATTGTTATTCAATGTTGACTATGTACGTATGTTATTACGGAATTGAGGACTAAAGTTGTTGTTGAATTTTTTTTTCATTTATCTCCACAATTTTTGACAGATTAGCCGTATAGCGCCCTCTACATTCGCACCGTGAACACCTGTGAAAGGCGTGAACCGCGAATGTGGATGGCTTTCGCGCTCGTTTACGGGCTTCGCGCCTTTTCACGCCTTTTCACGCCTTGTTCCCCGTTCAGTGTCGGTATTTTGTGCCCTCGTCAAAAAGTTTACGAGTCGTGAACCTCCCGTGAACGCAAGCGCATTCACACTCGCGCGTGAAATCAGTAACGCGCGAGACTCGTTGCTGTGAGGTTGTGCTTATTTGTATTTTTTACGGAGGACGGTGCGTCAAAATGAGCGTCATTTGGACGTACGAGCAGGAACTCTTGTTGATCGAGTGTTATCATCATGCCGAACCTATTTTATGGGATGCTAAACGCACAAAGTCCACCTGATGGTATGTGGATGCTATGGCCCATAGACATCTATCCTCGATTACGAATCAAAATGCAGATGCGTTGTCACCCGTGAGGACTAAGATGGAATGCCTCGTTTCCAGTAAAAGGGTCTCCGGTTCTCTACACTCACTATACGAAACGCAGCAGCATTAAGCTACTATTTGACGCTGGTATTCTGTGAGAGCGTGGTCCTTCTCCGGTCGAGTCGACCCATTTGTGCTACAACTATACTAATAATATGACTGCAGCATGGCTCTGGCTCGAAAAGCGTTGAAGTGACTGATTGAAAAAAAAAAGAAAGTCTAATGTCCAGTTATAGAAATTATAACAAAAAGGTGAAAGATTCTGAAAGGAAGTCTGGAGCAAGCAGCGACAAAATTTACAAGCCCATTTGGATTGCCTTTGACGTGATCGATATTTTTCTAGGAGAAAAGGATAATTGTAAAAAAACTACAAATACGGTATTTTTATCTTTTATATACGCGTAATTATCGTGAGCCAAAGCGCATATCGTCACGGCGATAGCAGTGCATATTTCAGCGTCCATTCTCGACGAGCGCGCGAACTAAACTGTGAACGATTGCGAATGTGAAGGGATATGTTTTTCGCGACGACTTCGCGGCAAAATTACGCCTTGAATTCACACCGTGAATCACACGTGAGTCTGGAGTCCGCATAACATTTAATGCCATAACTTGAGTAACAATGTGAGATATTAGATTGTATATATTGTTTTATATTAAAAAGCTATAACTTCTCTTTTTCAGCCGCACTTGCTTGAGACATATATGAACGAGGCATTATCGTCGATACACAAGTGCGTGTTGAGCAGCGGGCGACGTGAGAATCCTCTACTAAATGAGGGCAGCGAGCCCTCAGCGACTCTGCAGCGACACACGCAGCAGATACTGCTCGCCTACGTGACCGTACTGCGCGAGCTGGCCTTGCACCATGAAGACCAGGTTTGTATATATTTACATACTTCATCCTATCAACATCACAGTATATCAAAAGTTCGTCTGCCTCGTTGGTCTAGTGGTTGTAGTAATGCGACTGCTGATCATGAGGTCCTGGGTTCGAATCCCGGGTCGGGCCAAAATTAATTATTGAGTTTTTCCATCAAGAAATTTTCAGTAGTTGCCCGGAGTCAGGAAGTTGGCGGTGTCTCACCCCCGTGCCTCGGAAAGCACGTAAAGCCGTTGGTCCTGCGCCTGATCTCTCTCCGGTCGTGTCGATTTACCTTCCCACCGGATTGTGAGAGTGAGGGAATAGAGAGTGCACTTGTGCTTGCGCATATACTTGGGCACTATAATCCTGTCCTGCGCCGATGGCTAGCCTCCGTTAAGGTGGCTGAAATTCGGTCTGGAGGACATTATATTATTATAATATCAAAAGTTCGCTGTGTCACACAAATACACTTGTGAGTCAGTAACTTACTTGTGCCCGATGGGACGCTTACGTGGCGTCGGCCCAGGATGCAACGCAAAGACGGGGGACAATCGTAACACAACCAGTTTTACATATAAACTTTTTTGCGAATTTTGTGTGCTAGCTCTTTGCGAAATGTTCAAATGTATAAAATATAAGATGTGACTTACAGTCGTGACTTACTGTCGTGACTGTTGATTTAGTACTAGCCAAAGAAGTTATTGTCACCCCCATCATTGTTACAGCCTACCAAAGTCTACTGCTGAACATAGGCGATGCCATAGATTGCCTTATAAGGAGGATATTTCTCATATTTTTTATTTTCTATGTATAATTAGGAAGACCCATCTTTATGTTTGTTTTCTTTTGTTAACTCTTACGACATCTATGGGACGATATGGGGTATTGTATATTCTTATAACTGGTGGGGAAGAAAGGTTCTCGACTGAGCTTCGTACCGGTAAGACAGATTTACACTTCGACAAGTACAGTAGCGAGTTATCTTATGAACCTGGCGAGTTAAGTAGAAAATCTAATTTGAACGGCAATTAGTGAGTTAAGTAACAAGGTAACAATTAGTTGAACGGGATAGCTGGCCGGTTTATTTTCAGTGAGTTAAGTCGGAAGTGTTTCCCTCTCGCACGTCTCCCGCCACCCGCAACTAAACTCGCCGTTAGTGTGAACGAGCGAGTTTAGTTCAGTGCATAAGTTAACAGGACGCAACATGTTCGCATTCGACCCTCAAAATATGAAAGTGTACTTTTTTTAACTAAACTCGGCAAGAAGCTATTTGAACGCTACTGTCCACTTAATCGTTTATTGTCAACTGCCCTCTAACTCGCTACTGTACTTGTCGAAGTGTAAATCGGCACGTAATCGAAGTTTAGGGCGGCGGCTACAAGATGGAGTGACGACCTGGTAGGATATGCAGAAAGTCCATGTATGCACGATTAGGACCGTGCTTTGGGGCATTCCTTGGGGGACACAGGCCATGTTCAACAGTGGTACTTGTTTAATTACTGTAATAATATTAATAAAGTTTCAAAGTGCACTGCTTTGCCATCTTCGATTACCATTTACTGGTAGGATAGTATTCAAGCAGGGCTTAAAATAGTAAAAAAAATCAACGGCCAACGGTCGAAAAAATGGTCGACAACCGGGTGGATAATGATAATACTGACGCATCGCCACTTCTTGTAAGTGGACGTAAAACGCCTAAAGAAACGGAAACGAGAATGTACTAAAACAGTAATAGTAGCATGAATGGGTCTGTTCAACCGGGGAAGGGCCATGCTATCACGGAATACCAGCGTAAAATAGCTAGGTAATGCTGCTGTGTTTCGTATGGTGAGTGTAGAGAACCGGAGACCTTTTTACTGGAAACAAGGCATTCCATCTTACTTCTCAGGGGTGACAACGCATCTGCATTTTGATTCTTACTTGAGGATCGATGTAGATGTGTATGGGCACAGCATCCACTTAGTAAACATCAGATGGATTATATGCTCGTTTGTCACACTTATTCTATAAAAAAATCAAGCATAGGCTTAGAATAGTTAAAAGAAACCAACGGCCCACGGTCTGAATATGGGAATATTCGAAAACCGGGTGTATGATGATAATATTGTTCCACTGTAACCGTTCAGGTTTACCTCAAAACCTGAAAACTAGATTGTACAACCAGTGCGTGTTGCCAATGATGACTTACAGATTTAAGACGTGGTCGTTCACTGCTGGCCGTATGAGGACGCTCAAAGTCGCTCAGCGAGCTATGTAGAGGGTTATGCTCGGGGTTTCTCTGCGTGATAAACTTAGAAATAAGGATATCCGCAGTAGAACCAGAGCGATCTATATAGCCTAACGGATTAGGAAGCTGAAGTGGGAATGGGCCGGCCATATAGTTCGAAGAACTGACAACCGATGGGGAAAAAAGGTTTTCGACTGGCAGCCTTGTACGTACGATGGATGCAGGTGGCTCAGGACCATGCTTTGTGGCATTCCTTGGGGGAGGCTGTGTAATGATGATGATGATGATACTACTTGGTAGTGAACGTAACGCTTAACGAACGGCCGGCGCTTTGAAAAATGGGAATGTATAAAAGTTGTGAGGTGGATGGTATTGTAGTAACGGTATATACTGCTTAGTATTAACGGCTATTGATCGGCCGCGAAAGAGACGGGGAATGTAACTAAAGTCGGGTGGTAGGACTTCAACAATACAAGCCTGTCGGTGGCGCTGGACCAACGGCTGGACGAGTCGTACGGGGGCGGCGCGGGCGGCGGCGCGGCGCGAAGCTGGCAACAGCGTCTGCTCATCGCCGGCGCCAACGCGCACTACACGCGCCGCCTCACGCTGAACAACATCCTCGACGCATTCCAAACGTGAGACCCACCTGCCGCTTTGTTGTTTTTGCGGATTTTATCGCGTTTATTTTTAATTTTAATTATTTTTATTTTTAATTCCCGACGTTTAGCACCCGTGCTTTCCAGCACCCATGGTCACGGGGGACCGAGGTGACTGACGTCCCGATGTCATTGTTAAACCCGAAGTATCTTTAGTTTTTTTTAATTATTGTTTATGCTCCGATCTATGCAAAATGAACTGACTATGTCCTGAGGTCTTGCAGTGGTATGCTTGGGTTTAGTTTTAATTTTATTAATTATAGGATCCCAAGCAGGTGGTAGTACCCAGCCTCCTTCTCTATTGAAATTAGGATGTTTTTTAATTTCAATAGCCTCACGTGTCATACTTGGTAGGAATCGATGTTCTTTCGCGAGGATTTGTGGTCTATCAAATCTGATGTAATTTACTTTACATTTAATTTATATAACATACATAAACACTCACGCCTGTCACCCAGAGGGGTAGGCAGAGACTACAGACTTCCATTTGGCACGATCCTGACACACCTCTCTTGCCTCCTTCGCATCCATACACCTACGCATACATGCTCGTCGGTTAAGGGTACTCCTAATTTGGCCCGTTTTCAATCTTTGTCAATAAATTTTCGCCAAACGTCCCTTTCCGACTCTGCCATTCACTTCTGCACCATACATTTTCTTTGTCACTCTTTCCTCATTCATTCTTTCCACATGACCAAACCACCGAAGCATTCCTTTCTTAATCCTGGTCACAACATCATCTTGCAGACCACACTCTTCTCTTATTACACAATTTCTTAAGTCCCTGGTCATTCAGATTCAGCCCTAACATACTCCTTAACGACCGCATTTATACTGCGTTTATTCTACTCTCGTGCTTCTTCTTTTAATTTAATTACTTTTTAGCAAAAAAAGCATACAAGCAGTGGCGGTGTAGAAATGTCCACTACCCCATATCATACCGTGGGTGTCGTAAGAGGCGACAGATGGAAATAAGCCAGGAGATGGGCAGCAGCGCTCTTCCTAAGAACGATTGACGACTAAGAGTAAAAATAAATTTCCAAACGTGACAGCTATGTCAAATATCCTCACTATGAAGCAATCTCTGGGAGAGGTATATGTTTAGCAGTGTTTAGTTGGCTGTAACGGTAACGGTATATCAGGAGATAACTAAAGGCTTCTGGTGTACTACTAGACGGACACTATCGTTTTAATACATTGCGCACTAAGTGACGGTCAATTCTACATAACTCATTTAGTCAACTGCGAGTGGGCTAAAAGACTAGTTCATCGTTTTGTAAACAGTGAACGTTGTTTTCGACACTCTGACACTAATATTTTTATGTGACTAGGAAAACGATGTCATTATTAGAAGATTATTTCAGATAGATAAATAAATTTACTTCATATTTTCCTAAAAATATTTATTGTTGTAAATTGAAAATACAACTGCGTGGCATATTTAGGGCCGATATTCATTATAATGCCGTTTAGAGTTCGTTTTCGGTTCGATCTCGATCTGATAAAATATTATCAAGTATAAAATATGTGTGTGCATTCATACTATCCGGTAACAGTCAATTTCAGTCCATTCCCATTCCTTTATAATAAATCAGACCAAGAACTAACTGTGATCGGCAAATGAGGATCGGCCCTTAGCGTGCCAGCTAACCCGACGGCTCTAGCGGGATGTGCCTCCGCGAATCACGACTGTGACACATATTTGTTGTGAACTGTCGATCTGGTACTATACATAGAAGTCTTTGGATATAGTCTGCCAAACTGATAAACAGATTGTCGACAAAAACTGCTCTCGTTTATATTACTACTATTATGGTTACTTTGGTTTCACGTGTTTTTTCAACTTCAAAAACAGGAGGAGGTTCTGAATTCGACTGTATTTTTTTAGAACCTCAGAACTTTTTTTAGGTGAACAGAATTTGATGATTCTTTTTTATTTGAAAGCTGGTGCTTGTCATGTGGTCCCATATAAATTTGATCACGATCTGACTACTGGTCAGAGTTTTTGAGTTTTCCTTAATAATACGTATTTAAAAGGATTGTGAAGTTGTAAATTTTCATACAAAAAGCGATAACGTTTTCCCTCCCGTAAACATAGTCTTTTCATAATTTTTGGAAATGTAGATATAATGAAAATCTAGGTCCGTACGTTTTTATTTTAAGGAAATATTGCGTACGATAAAAGTTATTAGCATCTAAATATCTATATTTTTGACTTAAAAACTTCCTTGAACATTTTTTTTAAATAAACTAAACTGAATTATTAAAAACGGGTGTGAAAACGTTATCGCTCGAAACAATAATTTAAAAAGAAAATGTAGGCAATTACTTCCAAGATTTGCTTTGCTCTATATCGCACGACGGCGATACGGAGCGAACGATGTGAAACAGATAGCATTTTTGAAAATACCTACTCGCACCGTGTATTGGCACTTCACAATCCTCTTAATTGACTTCGACTACAATAATGATGTTCTCATTTTATTTATAATGAAGTAGGTTGCACAAATTTTTTAATTATACCCATTGAAGTAATATGTACTTACGTACTAGAACGGCTATCCCAAACAAAAAATGTGCGCTACTCTGTGTTCGCGCGGTTGTTTTATTTATCATAGAATAAACACATTATTGTATTGTTAAATAGGTAAATTATATCGAGAACAATATTTAAATTTTGTCACTTATTTTGTATATTGTATTTGCTTATTTAATATAATATTACATAATATTATATCACAATTACATTCTAATGATATTTTTATCTCAGTATTTTAAAAGGTATCTATGTCAAATATAAAAAAAATACTAAATGTATGTTTAACAAAACGTATTAACGTAACATTTAAATTACAAATATATTTATTTAAATTAGAATAAGAGTCGTTCATAAATTCTGGGTACGCGAGAGTTAAAAATGGACGAATTTATTCCACTTTGACTTTGATGTGGAATCCTAAAAATAAAATAAGAGAATAATAAGCAGATTTAAACATTAAAAATTTAGCCTAATTATAATAACTTATATATGTTTCTACAAACAAAATGTGTATAATAATATATTCTTCCTATACTTAAGTGCCCACAGAAATGTCGCATCTGAACATATTTTCATAATCTATATTCCACGACACGAGAGTCTTAGGAATAATTTGTTTTATTATTAATCTAAAATACTTTTTTATTGATAAAGTATCTTATTAAACGATGAAAAGTAATTCATTGGTTTTTACTAACATTTCTTGAATTATTTGTGCAATATCTAAATACACACGACGGCATATTTTTATCAAGAGATTTTTTAAATCAACACAACACGTGACAACTCTACAAGCGCCTAGCGAGTGGCTGATTGAAGTGCGGTGTATGCACCGTAGTTGAGTGGGACATAGTAGCTGAATGCAGTGCACCTCTAGTACGTAGTACGTAATAGCCAATGATTTTACCATTTGTTTCTAATTTTAATTATTACCGTTATTTCCAGATTTACAAACACTTATATTATGATGATTTATTAACCTAAGTAATATATTATGCCTAACTATTCTTGTGAAAATACAAATTAATTTAATAAAGATTCAAAGAAATATTTCTTTAACCGTTTCTTCAAATTACTTAGCGATTCATTCTCTTTTTGTGTATCTTGTCTGGTTTGCTTACGAAAATAATTAACTACTTAAAATATATAATATTATAATTAATTAGCGACTTCTAAAAGTTGGATAGACGCTCTCTTATTTTTGAATAAGTAGTCGCCGAGGCGTAGAAATTCAACCGTATTTCTTTAGGTTTTACTTGTTACCTCATTTGTAACACTATATTCTGTAAGTAGCAACACGAAGATATCTTTTGCTCTGTGTGTGTATTTTTTATCAGCCTTTAACAGACTTCTGTAGTAGAAGGTGGGCCTCTTTCATTAATTATAATAGAAAGGATTTGCCGTAATCAAACCGAAACAAATCTTTGCGGCGCTGCGCCTTGAACATAAACTAGTGGTTGCTCCGGGTTAGAAATTCGGCCGTAATTCATTATTTAAAAAAAATTATATTAAGCAAGCTGTATTTCTCTTTAAATTGTACACTGATATGTAAACACATATATGATATACAAAAAAATAAAAGGAACGTTTTGTGACTTGTTGCGATGAACGTTTTGTGGAGTGTATGTACATTCCACACTCTACTGAAATACGAACATATGAATTCGCACACACAGCTTCTTCAGTCGATTTGTCAGTAATTATTTGTTGGCAAAATTTTAAAATTCTTCGCAATTAAGGATAACAAACGATCATATTTTAAAAATGGTTGAGCTTCGTTGCGGTGTATTATAGCTGCATCACGAATGGGTCGGCTCGACCAGGGAAGGACCACGATCTCACAGAGTACCAGTGTGTTGCTGCAGTATAAAACTTCAGTAACCGGTGTTTTTATTTACTTGTGAATTCCTGGGAGCTGTCAATACCATTTTATAATTCCATTCAATTTTTTTTCTAATCGAATAAATGAGAAGTTAATATTGTTTATAAAATATTTTTAATATCTTACAATACATGTAGGTTATTCAGGAATTTTTATCATGAGTAGCGCATACACGCGTACGTCTAGTCGCACGCACACAAACACCGTGCGAAGTCTGCCGAGTGCCGAAGTCTGCCGAACGAAACGACGTTAGACGATGCACGGCCTTCAAGCCACACCTCCGGCCCGTCGGAGTAAGGAGCGTGAGGTTTTTTCGTTACGGCGGAATAAATTTCTGGATTCGGTCCCCGCGCTCAAGGCCTGCGATAGAAGCTATGCAATAGCTTAAAAATATAATTTTGTTGTGTTTTAAAATTACAATTTTACATTACAGATCACAAGGGCCGTAAAACGTCTGCATAATATAAAGGTCATTTTGTATAGTGGAATTTAATTCAATTATAATTTTCAGTTCGTAATCAAGTTACACTTATAAATTTTATATTTTGTATGCCCACTGGCGCGACATAGAGAACCCACGTTATATTTTATTATGTATATATCGAGATCTGTGAATTAACCTATGTTCACAAAATAAACAGATTTTATTTGGTTGTAAACAGTGGTCGGAAAATTTAAAATAATGCTTGAGTCCTAACAAAATTAAATACAATGTCTCATAAGCATAACGTATATTATATTATTATGACTTGTTTCATGTATGAATTAGTATGTATAATTTTTCCTAAATAGTAAGCTATTTTTTACAATTTTTCATTTAATTGACATACTTAGAATAATCTTCTTTTTGTAGTTACGGGCTCCCGAAACCAACGCAAGCTATACAAACTACAAAGGACGCGTTGAGCTCGCTGGAATCGAGCATCGCGGAGACATATCTGGAACACAAGGGTGACCCACTTGTGGGCACGATAGAGCCCAGCATGTACATGGGCCGTCATCACACTGACGCCGAAGCTATGGTCGACGACGCCCGCCCTTATGTCTACGAGATTATTAACAATCTCATTGCGGTGCATGCAGAGGTTTGTATTTTATACAATACTTATACGTGGTAGAGCCATGCTGCAGTTATATTAGATGTATAGTTGTAGCACAAATGAGTCGGCTCGACCGGGGAAGGAAATTTTGATACATTATTATTATCATCACCATTCCCTTTCTCATACATACCTATTGTGTATTTTTAAATCAGAGTAGATCGATTTTACTATGTTTATAGGAACCACAGACAATATTATTTAAGAAACAAAAAAAAACATATGTACTGACCAAGAAGTGTGAATAATATCAATATTTAAATATTGTTATCACATATAAATTGAGATTTTGTAAGTTACGCCTTTTAACACTCGTCTCATATCTGAGGTCATTGTCAGTTTTTCGCAATCGATTTGGCACATACTATATAAGCCGCTATTTTACGTTGGTATTCTGTGAGCGCGTGGTCTTTCCCCGGTCAAGCCGACCCATTCGTGCTACAACCATAATATAGCCGCAGCGTGGCTCTGCCACCTATATCTTCTTTTCTTCCCAGGAGTCTGTCGGGATAGATACCACCTTCCTACCTATTTCTAGCACCAAACAGCAGAGCGAGCGCTGCTGTGTCTAAAGGCTATAGAGAGTCAGTATAATTACAGGCTGTGAGGATCTCCATCTTAGTCCTCAGAGATGACAGCACATCTGTAGCCTTCTGCGTTAGAAGATGGCTGCTACTGTTGCGATATACTGTTAATAGTACGTATTGTACGTACTGTGTATTTTAATGAAACTATGTAATGTGATGTGTATATAATGTGAAATTATATAAAATATATGAAAATGTAAGTATTTTAATGAATCGTATTTTACAACAGGGAGTGCTCTGAGTAATTGTTTGGACTAATTTCAATCGCACATCGCGACAAAACTCGCGATACGTGAAGTTTTCTTCAACAACTTCCATGTGGAATCAACTACCACCAGAGATTTCACCGGACCGATACGACTTAGGGACCTTCAAGAAAAGAGCCTATTCCTTTTTAAAAGGCCGGCAACACATCTCTCATAATCTGCAATTCCCCTGGTGTTGCAGTATTTCATGGGCGGCGGTAATCACTTAACATCGGGTGAGCCGTATGCTCATTTGCCCCCTCTCCTATAAAAAAAGAAAAAAAAGACATATTTCAAATTCAAATTGAATCATAATATCTTTCATCGAATGATATACCCACTTAATACGCGGTACATTTGTTTATTTTTATATGCCGCAACTTTATAATTTTACCACGTTTTAACCCCCGACGAAAAAGTTATGTTACCGATGTGTATGTTTGTATCTGTGTGTCTGCCTGTGGCATCGTAAGCTCCCAAACGGATGAATCGATTTAGATAAATTATTTTAATCAGAATTATGTGAATAGTTTAGACATTACAAAAACACTACATTTTTTTTATAGGATAGGATGACAAACGAGCACACAGCCCACCTGATGGTAAGTGATTGCTGTGGCCCATAGACCACTACATCTATCCTCGATTACGAATCAAAATGCAGATGCGTTGTCATCCGTGAGGGTTTAGGTCGTTTATTATTCATATATGGCCTGAACGGCCGTCCAAAAATTGCCATAGCGGTCGGTATTTCACGACCACAAGGCGGGGTATTGGTAAAGTTTTCAACTAGCAATAATCGCACCTCGGATTAACCTCATTGGTTACGATATTGCCTCTGCGCAAAGTTACCTTAAAGTAAAAATAATTCGATATGTTACTTCTCGTACTTGGACAAACGATAGCACGATAGTAATAGATCATGGCGCCATCTGTTGATATCCATCATAAGTTTCTTTTATGTAGCTTTTTTTTAAATTTTTTATTTTAAATCCAGTAATTATATGAAATTAAATTGAAATTTAACTTTTAAATATAAAAAATATTCAAGTTAAAAAATTTGAGCTAAGTTTTTAAGCCATTTATAATCAGCGGAAAATTTAAGTCACATTTTACAGCCCATGGACATCTGCAATCTACTTCGACCATAGAATCTCTCACAATCTGTAAACCGATACACAGCAATGTATGTCTAATAACCTTTTCCTTCGACTTTTATTTTCAAAGCAAATAAAATATTGAAATGTATTAATTCTAAATTATTTTTTTTTAGTTTTGCAGTAATAGTTTATAATGACAAGTAAGAACAAAAAGTATAGTTTAGGATAAGAAAGTCTCTTTTCATACGAAACGTATGGGAAAATTTTATCTGAAATTTACCTTAGTTCATCAAATAGAATTTAGAACCTTATAAGAAACTAAAAGCAAAAGCAAAAGTACTCTCCCAAAGTTGTCAAACAAGATTATAATGACAATAAGTGTTTTAAAAATATCTGCGATATATGTCGATATTATTATGAGAAAATATTGATATGGTGCTGTAAAGTACCCGAATCGTCGGAGATTTAAAAGTTAAATCCAAACGCGATAAAATCCGTAGAACTATTTTTAGTCGTCATCGTTATTACATAGGCCTCAAGTTTTATTCAACTTCGATTATATTATATTAAATCGTGGTAGAACCATGCTGCAGTTATATTAGTAGTATAGTTGTAGCACGAATGGGTTGGCTCGACCGGGAAAGGACCACGCTCTCACAGAATACCGACGTAAAATAGTAGCTTAATGCTGTTGTATTTCGTATGGTGAGTGTAGAGAACTGGAGACCCTTTTTACTGGAAACGAGGCGTTCCCTCTCAGTCGTCACGGGTAACAACGCATCTGCATAAACTGCAGATGTCTATGGGCCATAGCAACCACTTACCATCAGGTGGACTGTGTGCTCGTTTGTCACCCTATTCTATAAAAAAAATGATTTTGTAAGTTAAGTGCAACTTGTGAGAGTTAAAAATCCAAAAATAATATTAATATTAATATCGCCGTTTTTTGTCTAGATCTCTTACTGTTTCATCTCACGTGATTTCTTTTGATTCTCTTCTGATTCACTGGCGCTGCGAAGAGATGTTGCATCTCTTTGCGTATTTTATCGCTTTTGTCACGGGGAGTGCTCTGAGGAATTGTTCGGATTAATCCCAGCCGCCAAATTTCATGAACGCACTACGCGGCAAACCTCCCGACACCATCCACACCATCTGGATGCTTGGCGGTCCACCACTGTACGTTTCACTAGGAGTTTTCTTTCGCGTACGACCTCTCTGTGGAATAGTTTACCACCGGCGATTTTTCCGGACCGATACGACTTGGGAACTTCAAGAAAAGAGCTCACTCCTTTCTAAAGGGCCGGCAACGCACCTGCAATTCCTCTGGTGCTGCGGATGTTCATGGGCGGCGGTAGTCACTTAACATCAGGTGAACCGCATGCTCGTTTGCCCCCTCTTCTATAAAAAAAGTTTGTTAGTTAAACCCACTCTCATATATAGCGCTGCTTTTGAGCGTTTTTGAAAACTTTACATATCCTAAAAGTACTTTATCTCTTAAGGGGTTATAGTAAGTCAGCTCAAATTCTAATTTCGTCGCCACTTGCCCGCGCGTCGTATGCTATGTACCGACATGTTTGTAATCACTAATACTGTAAGTAGATAGGTCGTTAGATACTTATTTAATTAGGTTTATCATATTTATGCCTGTTTCTTAACGCCAAGCCAGTCGCTTCTTATTTTTATTACGGTTATTTCCCATTTTAATTTTACGTTGTCCTGTTGCGTAATGTTTATTCTGATCGTAAGCGACACAACTTCCCCCTTCAAAGGCCGAAGCGAAACTGACCGGGCGGCAGGAATCAAGCTTCAAGATGCTGATAGTTTAGGTAATTTCTTCTTACAGTGAAAATAATGGTATTTAAAAAAAGTAAATAACAAAAGCACTGCTTTATAGTTAGTTCAGTTAGTATGCAAATTTTCATCATCTTATTTAAAGTATTTTATGAATAACAGCAGTTTATTGTTTATTTTGGAGGTAACTTTGGATTTTTTTTTCTATCGAGAAAATTTTACGAAATCGTGTTTTCGTCTAACATAATCCTTAACATGAATCCTCAACTTTACCATATATTTATTTCAAAATTAATGCTGCAGTACTTTCGGCATAACGAAGGATCTTGTTAAGCCATTTGACATTATATTTCCCCTTAAATATGGTATGTTTACCTTCTCTGCCTAGCTAAATTAGTACTTAAATGGCAATGGCGTTTTCATTGACCGCCAGGGATTAAACGCGGGTTGCTCAATGCGTTCAGGATTTCTGCCACCAGGGCGCTGTAATTTAGGAATGGAGTGAAAAGTTTAATAGATTTTATAGAGGGTGAAGATAATTTGTTAGAAAAAAGTAGCTATTAATGTGTTTTTCTGATATATTCGTTATATTTTATATTACTTATATTAGAAATTGATTAAATCAAACTACATATATTCCTAAAAATATTTAGAAGAATGAAAAAAAGAGGGTTCAAATGTGTAAAAAATAAAGAACACAGCATTGAGGCATTGTTTGGTGTGTATACATACAGCAGAAACCGAAATTTTTTAATTTGAAACGCAACTTTCAATGCTGATATTGTGTGATCATTTGCATAATAAGTAAATTCATTTTAGTTTCAACTAGTCAAAATTATTAGCTTTTATTTTTTGTTTTCTTGATAAAAAAGAGGATATCTACGGAGTTTCTTATCTGGAAAGAGGCACCATATTTTGAAACAGTAGTAGATTAAAAGTTTAGAGATATGTAGACGTATAACGAACGAAATTTCAATGTCCAAAAATAAAGAGATTTAATTTAAGTTACGGTGAGCAGTTAGCCTTGGAGCACAGAATATATAATAATAATAATAATGTCCTCCGGACCGAATCACGGCGGTCTGCCTCAACGGAGGCTAGCCATCGGCGCAGGACAGGATTATGCAAGCACAGGTGCACTCTCTAGTCCCTCACTCTCATAATCCGATGGGATGGTAAACCAACACGACCGGAGAGAGATCAGGCGCAGGACCAACGGCTTTACGTGCTTTCCGAGGCATGGAAGTGAGACCAACTTCCTAACTCCGGACAACTACTGAGAATTTCTTGACAGAGAAACTCATAAATTGATTTTTCACCGGACCCGGGATTCGAACCCAGGACCTTATGATCAGCAGTCGCACTAATACAACCACTAGACCAACGAGGCAGTCATATAATAGCACAACCTACTAGGAGCTACGGGGGCTCAAAATAAATTCGTAAACGTGTAGGTGGACAGCGTATGCGGCGCGGCGTCGACGCGGTACGTGCGCGACATCTGCGAGACCGTGTGCGAGGAGCTAGCGCGGCTGGCCGCGTGCGCGCCCGCCGCCGGCCGCGCCGCCGCGCTGCAGGCGCGCCTCGAGTACACGCTGCTGCGCCTCGCCGTCGCCGAGCACCTCACCAGGAAGGCCGAGTCAGTAATATATCCATGCACATACGAGACCGTGTGCGAGGAGCTGGCGCGGCTGGCCGCGTGCGGGCCCGCCGCCGCGCTGCAGGCACGCCTCGAGTACACGCTGCTGCGCCTCGCCGTCGCCGAGCACCTCACCAGGAAGGCCGAGTCAGTAATATATCCATGCACATACGAGACCGTGTGCGAGGAGCTGGAGCGGCTGGCCGCGTGCGCGCCCGCCGCCGCGCTGCAGGCGCGCCTCGAGTACACGCTGCTGCGCCTCGCCGTCGCCGAGCATCTCACCAGGAAGGCCGAGTCAGTAATATATCCATGCACATACGAGACCGTGTGCGAGGAGATGGCGCGGCTGGCCGCGTGCGCGCCCGCCGCCGCGCTGCAGGCGCGCCTCGAGTACCCGCTGCTGCGCCTCGCCGTCGCCGAGCACCTCACCAGGAAGGCCGCGTCAGTAATATATCCATGCACATACGAGACCGTGTGCGAGGAGCTGGAGCGGCTGGCCGCGTGCGCGCCCGCCGCCGCGCTGCAGGCGCGCCTCGAGTACACGCTGCTGCGCCTCGCCGTCGCCGAGCATCTCACCAGGAAGGCCGAGTCAGTAATATATCCATGCACATACGAGACCGTGTGCGAGGAGCTGGAGCGGCTGGCCGCGAGCGCGCCCGCCGCCGCGCTGCAGGCGCGCCTCGAGTACACGCTGCTGCGCCTCGCCGTCGCCGAGCATCTCACCAGGAAGGCCGAGTCAGTAATATATCCATGCACATACGAGACCGTGTGCGAGGAGCTGGAGCGGCTGGCCGCGTGCGCGCCCGCCGCCGCGCTGCAGGCGCGCCTCGAGTACACGCTGCTGCGCCTCGCCGTCGCCGAGCATCTCACCAGGAAGGCCGAGTCAGTAATATATCCATGCACATACGAGACCGTGTGCGAGGAGCTGGCGCGGCTGGCCGCGTGCGGGCCCGCCGCCGCGCTGCAGGCGCGCCTCGAGTACACGCTGCTGCGCCTCGCCGTCGCCGAGCATCTCACCAGGAAGGCCGAGTCAGTAATATATCCATGCACATACGAGACCGTGTGCGAGGAGCTGGAGCGGCTGGCCGCGTTCGCGCCCGCCGCCGCGCTGCAGGCGCGCCTCGAGTACACGCCGCTGCGCCTCGCCGTCGCCGAGCATCTCACCAGGAAGGCCGAGTCAGTAATATATCCATGCACATACGAGACCGTGTGCGAGGAGTTGGAGCGGCTGGCCGCGTGCGCGCCCGCCGCCGCGCTGCAGGCGCGCCTCGAGTACACGCTGCTGCGCCTCGCCGTCGCCGAGCATCTCACCAGGAAGGCCGAGTCAGTAATATATCCATGCACATACGAGACCGTGTGCGAGGAGATGGCGCGGCTGGCCGCGTGCGGGCCCGCCGCCGCGCTGCAGGCACGCCTCGAGTACACGCTGCTGCGCCTCGCCGTCGCCCAACATCTCACCAGGAAGGCCGAGTCAGTAATATATCCATACACATACGAGACCGTGTGCGAGGAGCTGGAGCGGCTGGCCGCGTGCGCGCCCGCCGCCGCGCTGCAGGCGCGCCTCGAGTACACGCTGCTGCGCCTCGCCGTCGCCGAGCATCTCACCAGGAAGGCCGAGTCAGTAATATATCCATGCACATACGAGACCGTGTGCGAGGAGATGGCGCGGCTGGCCGCGTGCGGGCCCGCCGCCGCGCTGCAGGCACGCCTCGAGTACACGCTGCTGCGCCTCGCCGTCGCCCAACACCTCACCAGGAAGGCCGAGTCAGTAATATATCCATGCACATACGAGACCGTGTGCGAGGAGCTGGAGCGGCTGGCCGCGTGCGGGCCCGCCGCCGCACTGCAGGCACGCCTCGAGTACACGCTGCTGCGCCTCGCCGTCGCCGAGCACCTCACCAGGAAGGCCGAGTCAGTAATATATCCATGCACATACGAGACCGTGTGCGAGGAGATGGCGCGGCTGGCCGCGTGCGGGCCCGCCGCCGCGCTGCAGGCACGCCTCGAGTACACGCTGCTGCGCCTCGCCGTCGCCGAGCACCTCACCAGGAAGGCCGAGTCAGTAATATATCCATGCACATACGAGACCGTGTGCGAGGAGCTGGAGCGGCTGGCCGCGTGCGCGCCCGCCGCCGCACTGCAGGCGCGCCTCGAGTACACGCTGCTGCGCCTCGCCGTCGCCGAACACCTCACCGGGAAGGCCGAGTCAGTAATACAGGGTGTTAATGTAAACACCGTTATCCTTGAAACCAGTGGTTTGGTTTCACTTATAGAACGTAAATTCAATGAAAAATAACAACATATTTTTTTTAGTAAAATCTCAATTTTTCCTTAATTCCTCAATTTTTGCCCGTGCTAAGCCAGGTTGAAAGCATGAAGGAAAAGTTACATCACAGGTTATGTGTACTATTGGAATTTTGTGTAGGTAGCTAGAGCGGGCGGTGATCTTTACAGTGATTACGTCACTAGGGCTCATAGGGTATCCGTGAATTTACGGACGGTGTCGGAAAGAATGCGTCGGAAAGAAGGTGTCGGAGAAATGTTTTAAATTTTATGAAAGAAAATCGCGTTTTTCTTTAAATTCATTGAATTTACGTTATAAAAGTGAAACCAAACCACTGGTTCAAGGATAACGGTGTTTAGACTAACACCTGTATATCCATGGACACACTCATATAATTACTAGAGATAGGCCGAACATTCGTTTCATATTCGGTGTTCGGCATATTCGGCAGCTTTACCGAATATTCGTCTAAATCACCGAGCATTCGTTAAAGTGGTACTCATTGTCCACTGTATTGAAATATGGGTACGAATTGAGTAATATATATCCATATCTTTCATAATTATACTGTTGAAAGTATTTTTTATTTATGGGTTAAATTCTTGTATAGCGTTATGTTTTTTGAGGCATTGTAGATTTATTTCCCAATATAGCAAATATAAAATTTTTTGAATTACTTTTGGAATCAAACTAAGAAACATTACATTACATTAGTGCATTTCACTATACTTTGGTCGTCAGTTTATATAAAATAAGTCCAAATAGTAGATATCCTACCACTCATTTATATCATATAATTATCAATTTTCACTAAAAATAATAAGCGAAAAAATAATAACGAAATACTTTTTTCTCGCTAAAATAGTCAAAACATAAGCATGTGCCGGCAATTTGTTCACTACTAGATGATGCAATAACATATCAGATGTGGCGGTGGAGAGAAGGCCAGGGTTCTGCGATAATCCCGCACACTTTACGGTAACAAGTTTCGACATAAATTGGTTAGGTATTGAGATGATCCTCGATTATTAATTACCTATGAGTCGGTATCTCTCGCTATCTATAAAACAATTTGTGTAAAACGCCAGCACGGTACAGGTGAAAATCCTAGTGTGTGTGTGTGCGAGTTACATAATACAAGATTGCATAGGTTATTCAGGGACCAGGCTACTCTATAATCTTGTCAGATTACGCGAAATGTCGTTGAATTAAAAGAATTGTGAAGTGCCGCTAAGCGGAGTGAGTAGATATTTTAAAAAATGCTATCTGTTTCACATCTCTCGCTCCGTATCGCCATCGCGCGATAGAGAGAGTTGCAAATGTTGGAAGTAATTGCCTACATTTCCTTTTTAAAATATTTTTTGGGCGATAACGTTTTCACCCCCCCCCCCTAAATATTTACGAAATAAGACAATTTTTACGTGGTCGGCTCGGGGAAGGACCACATTCTCATGGAATACCAGAGTCAAATAGTAGCTTAATGCTGCTGTGTTTCGTATGGTGAGTGTCGAGAACTGGAGACCCTTTTTTATACTGGAAACGAGGCATTCCACCTAAGTCCTCACGGGTGACAACGATCCTCATTTTGATTCGTAATCGAGGATAGATGTAGATGTCTATGAGCCACAGCATCCACTTACCATCAGGTGGACTGTGTGCTCGTTTGTCATCCTATCCTATAAAAAAATTTTTTTTGGTCTCATTAGATTCAGTATACCTTAATTTAGGTCTGTACGTTTTTCTTTTTTAGGAATTCAGTTTAGTTTAATTTAAAAAATATAAACGCTTGAGGAAGTTTTTAAGTCAAAATTATTGATAATTAGATGCTAATAACTTATATCGTACGTAATATTTCCTTAAACTAAAACGTACGGACCCAGTTTTTCATTATATCTGCAAAATTTTCAAAAAATGTGAAAATTAGACTATGTTTACGGGAGGGAAAACGTTCTCGATTTTTAATGAAAATTTACAGTTTCACAATCCTCTTAATAATCTCTTAATTTTATTTGCCGGACTCACACTTTCCTTTAACTCAGAATTAATAGCAAATCAGCCCTTAAAGTGTTCTCGGCTTTGCTCGTGTAATATGGAATATAGTATAAACTTTGCCACTGAGGTACCATAGTTTCTGTACCTCAATATGTATTTTTAATTTACCTTAAACTTGAACTTACACTTGAATGTGACAATGAAATTCTATACTAGTCTTAGATCTTGCTTTGACTTGCTAGTAAAATCTCGTAACTACGAAAGATGGTGAAATGGTCTGATGATGGTGAAAGATTAGAGAGAGATAATAAAATATTTAGACCTAATTTAATTCATGTGACCGGTAACGCGCTCAGCGTGACGGTTACGATAAATTGTTATTTGAGAGAGACTCTGTACAGCAGGCTTGTTAAGAGTTAATGATTTTTTCTTTCTTTTGTTTCTTTTAAATTAATATAGGAAAATAATTATTAAATGTTTTTTCCAGAAATTATTTAATGGAGGCTCTCGCAGGACTACCTCCTTTAGAAAATGAAGAGGACAAGACGTAAGTGATTTTTTTCAAACGTTTAACAGCTTATTATATTTGTAGTACTCATGATTCAATTATTATTCGATTATTCAATCATCTGATAAAATTTAATCGTAGGATGAAATACAACCTAAACAAACTAAAAGTTATCGTTGTATGAATACAATAGTTCAATTATTTAAATTTATTTTCATCTGGGTTATAATTTATTTGATGACTAACTTTTATCTGAATAATTGACCCTTAGTTCTTTACTTTTAATTTTAATTTATTTAAAATAAGTGTTAATAACAAAGTTTTGAATATAATAGTGACTTGCATTTTCTAATTTTATTGATCAGCCTGGTACATAATATATGGACAATTAGTGTTCACCATAACTACATACTTAACACCGACTAGAGGATCTTTAAGGTTGCGACACCTGGACTCTGTTGTTATCTAGACCCGCTATGAGACTTATTGCTATATTCTTTTGATCCTTAAGCTAACGTGAAATAAAATATAAAACAAACCTACAGTCGAATTGTAAACCTCCTTTTTTGAAGTCGGCTTAAATAACTGCTGTTAAAAAATAACATTATAAAATGTACAATATAGTAATGACACAAAGTGCCTTGCTAGTCTGAAAACAAAAAGTAATCTATATATTTAAAAAAAATTAACAATAACAATGTTCATTTCAAATGTAATCAGAAAGTATGCAAACAACACAGAAAGTCACAGTTTTCCACTAATCGCAGTAGGATTGTTCATTTATTGCACGTATTGATTTAAATCAATTATATATTATCAATTTTTGAAATCATTATTTAGGTATGATATCATTTTTTCATACTTTAAAACTAAGGTCTGCCTGACTGGCAAACTGGCTAAATTGGTTTTAAAAATCAATGTTAGTATGGACAAAATATCTAAATATAAAAACAACTAAATATTATAAAATTAAATATATATAAACTTATGAATTATGAATAATATATAATCTTTATATTGTTATATATACACATAGATCTTTGAATTTAACCTGATAGAGGTTGCTTCTATGTGACAAGGCCGCTAATTGTATTTTTAATTGGTTCTCTTTTCTCTTATATTTAATATCTCATATATATATATATATATATATATATATATATATATATATATATATATATAAAATACATGTGTATGTATTCATGTATTTTTCAATGGAGAAGGTTTATATTTATAAACTAAAAAAAATTGGAAATAAAACAAATTTTTTTTTATTTTATTTCCTTTTTTTCACTCGTGTTGTAATATAATAATTTATTCTGTGGGACAAACATTTTTAAATTTATTGTGGCATTGGCTGAGTAGTGAGGTACCAGCTTCTTATCTATTTCTGTAGCCAAAGCTGTGTTCCGTTCTGAAGATATAGAGAACCAATATAACTGCATCCTGTGTGGCATTTCATCTTAGTTTTCAGCGGTGACACCACATCTGTAGCCTTTGTTTTGCGTTGTCTGCAGGCGCCACGTACATCAAATGGACTATAAGTTCTTTTATCAATTTAGTTTTGTAAAAAGAAAACATTTCATTGGATGGTTATAGATGAGTGATTCTGTTTTGTAGGTATTTAGCATTTTATAATTTGTTTGACACTGACCCAGCGAAAAATTTTCTGCTTCTTTTGGTCGACAAAAGATGTCGCCCCATCATAGTCCAAATCAGCCAGGGAAACGCAAGTGTTTTTATTTTATTTTGTTAGTGGGTTATTGTTTTTTTTTTTTAAGGCGAATGGAGAATATTATCCAAGGGTTTAAAAAGAGAATGGAGCTTCAACTGGCGAGTCTTAATTGCAACATGGAGACTGTTTAGTTTTTAAATAAATACTGATTATGTTGTATATTTACCTAGTCTGTAACACATTGTATTAATGTCATTTATGTATAAGGACTATTTAAATAAAATATTTATTGGTAAGAAAGTGTATCAAAATACATATATATAATTTGTCAATGATTTTCATTCTTCTTTTTTCTTATTCTTGTAACTCTGTAACAAGTAAATTTAACACTTAAAATTAAAATAAAAAATTTGGGATCGAGTTTCTAATCGTTGTGTGTGAAACATTTAAGCTGAAATTCATATTTTTTTGAATTCACAAATTACTAGTATGTTTGGGTTAACATGTAATCGTCATGTTACTTATATTCGTCATTATTATATTCGTGTATTTTTTTATTTATCGATTATATTTTCTTATTACATAAATACATAATTTTACGAGTTTAGGGTTCGTTACAATAAAACCTGCCGATTGAATTACCAAAATTGACACTAATCACTGAACACCAATTAAAACTTAAAACACACTAGTAATCAATCACACTTAATACTTTAGTTCACTTTATTTCGCTCCGAAGTCTTCGCTTGTGTCGCCATTTCAATAGATCCATCCATCCAGCCATCACAAACATCTAGAATGTTCGAGTAGAATGCGAAAGTTCTAGCATCGAATTTTCTAGAAAGACCTTGACGCTCCTATTTCTCCTACTTGATACTAGATGGCGCTAGTGCCGTATACCAGGCATCAACTATGGCGCGCAACAATAAATGCCCTGATGGTTTCGTGAGGTGAAGACGGGTTTTATTATCAATAAATTAAAATAGAGATACTCTAATTTTAAACTATACGTTATAATAAAAAATTATAATAAAAAACGAGCGCACAAAATAAAATTTTACGATACTTAATATGCTAAAAATGTAACAAAAATATAAGTTGCGTACAGTTTTAAAATTAGACACTCCTACACATATTGCATCATTCCAAATAGTTCACTAAGTGACAATAAACGCAATTATGAATTACATACATATATTCAAATATTCTATAAAAATGATATAAAAATATAATTTTGTCTATTATAAAGTACTTTAATAGATTACCTCGTTCGCCATCTTATGTAACATTGCCGTCATAGCCGGACCCGTCTCCGCTACCATCTTACGAAAGTAGCCTTTTTTGTTCTGTAGCAGTATATGCGGATGATCAAATTCCATCAAACGCCCCGCATCCAACACCAATATCTATGCAAAGTTAAAGCGTTGAATCTGTTTTCAAATAGCAGTGCTTGCATTGCTATAAAAGCGTATTGAGAGGCAGTATAATGAGGTGGTGATAACACATCTAAAGCCTTCTTTGTTTACAATTGATTGTATGTTAGCTACTTACAGTCAGTTGGACTGCAAATTCGTTGGTTACTAGTTTTTTTTTGTTTTTTCTTTAGTTAAGGAAAACATACATCTATAATCATAGAATATTATAATACACAATAGAATGGCTGCCAACCTTATTTTGTACGAGGATAGGCGTCGCCGGGAGCATACATACAAGCAATTACATCGTATTATCAGTTAATCACTACTACAAACCCGATTTGCTGTGTTGACAGACGGATTTTAATACATACTTATTTGTAAATAGCGTGCAATTTGGCGTTTTCTAAATAATTTGCATGCGAAATTTGGAAACGATTGTAACATCAACACACATCTCGTGTTGACATTTATACGTGTGAATTGACGTGTTAGTGGCATTTTAGTGGCTACACGGGCTCCGCTCACTCCCACGTTCTATTATGTATGTATTATAGTATTCTATGGCTATAATAATGCATAATTAATGTTTAAATTAATTTATTACAAAATTCAGTAAGTTTTCACTATAACATATTTGATCATTGGGCAGAAATACTGATATACTCGTACAATCTTATGATAAAAGAAAATTATTAGACCATGGAACTCTGTAACTGTATTCTGCTTAATAGGAGATATAAAATTAAAAATGTTCTGATTAATATATATCCAAAATATTATAACGTTGGTTATAGAATTAACGGGCTCTAACAATAAATAGATTTAAAGTTAAGTCGCAGATTAATCCTAGCACACTAATGTGATTTTACGCAATAAGTATAGGGGGTCAATATAATTATTAAGGATTTTGTATAAAAAGAACATCGCGTTGTTCACGTCTCAAAGGATAGAATTCAGTTTTCTACTACCTATATAATATTATAATCGTATTGTCACTAGACTCCAAAAGAAATTTATATGTGGTAGAGCCAAGCTGTAGTTATATTAGTAGTATAGTTGTAGCACGAATGGGTCGGCTCGACCGGGGAAGGACCACGCTCTCACAGAACACCGGCGTAAAATTGTAGCTTAATGCTGCTGCGTTTCGTATGGTGAATGCAAAGGACCGGAGACCCTTTTTACTGAAAACGAGGCATTCCATATTAATCCTCACGGGTGACAACGCATCTGCATTTTGATTCGTAATCGAGGATAGATGTAGATGTCTATGGGCCACAGCAACCACTTACCATCAGATGGACTGTGTGCTCGTTTGTCACCCTATCCTATATAAAAAAGTATATAGGTAATTAGAAAAATCAAGGTGAATGAATTTCCAGGGAATTATAGTTTAATTTCAATGGATATTGTTCCTATAAACGCTTCTTCAAATATTGATTTCATTATATGAGTTTGAATATTTACAGCGCTGCCATATATATTTGCACACAGCTTGCACAGATATAATTTTAAAACTATCAATTCAATCACAAATACCAAATATTTCTAACATAGTCCACAAGGATCTAAAATAATCTATAAAACCCAGTTCGATCGTACGAAGAAATTATAGGAAATGGTAGTAAAATATGGCCTTTCCAAAATACTGCTACGGGCTATTAAAAAGTAGTGAATTGTAATGTGAGCTCACTTTATCTGAGTCGATGACGGTGTTGAGCCTGTGGGCTATAGTGATTACAGTACATCCACTAAAATGCAGTCTGATCGCGGTTTGAATGAGCGCGTCGGTCTGTGCGTCCACGTTGGCGGTCGCCTCGTCCAGCAACAAAATGCGCTCATTGCGTACAATAGCGCGCGCTAGGCACACCAACTGGCGCTCACCTACACTGAAGTTAGTTCCGCACTCGGATACTTGTTTGTATAAAGCGCCTGAAACGTATTTATATATCGTGTATTTATTAAATACAATATAAACAAAAGTACAGTCTACATACGTCCAATCGCTATGCATATAGACCTTCCATCGTTTCTAAAAGGGATTTTAGAGTACGGAACCCCGTAAACGTAGTGATTTATGTATTCCTTGGAACACCTCATCATCATCATGAAACGTATTTATATATCGTGTATTTATTAAATTCAATATAAACAAAAGTACAGTCTACATACGTCCAATCGCTATGCATAGACCTTCCATCGTTTCTAAAAGGGATTTTAGAGTACGGAACCCCGTAAACGTAGTGATTTATGTATTCCTTGGAACACCTACCGCATTGCTTTTCTAAGCGAAAGGGCAGTATTTCAGCTTTTAATTTTTTTAATTTCTCGAAATGTATGTACCCTCGCCACGCACGCACGCACGCTTTTGTTAAATTATTAAAAAATTAAGTAATATAAGTGAATATTTATCTATTATCTTGCCAGTAAAATACCATTTTGGAATCCTTATTAAAAGTGCCAACTTTTAAAGTTACTTGCCAAACTTGTAGTACATTTTTTTCAGTACAGTCATTTAAAACTGTGCAAAGAATTAATTTTAAATACTTTGTCGGAAAGAAATTACATTTCCTTCTGGACTTACTGTAAGCTCGTTCTGCGTAGATCGGATAAGAAATTAATATTCGAAAACTGAAGGTAGTCGGGCTAACTATGACATTGGGACGTTAAACATCTCAGATACCCCCCCCCCGTGACCATGGGTGCTGTAAAGCACCAGATATATCACCCGATTCCGACTTGACGTCAACTTCTGGGACATCCCATATATCTTAAGGTTCACTAAAACAGGAATAACGTCCCTTACCTTTCGCAGAGAATATATTGCAGAGGAAATGCGGAGAGTAGTTTCCACATTCTTCCTTTTTGTCATACATTCTGTACATTTGAATATAACATGATAAGTATATTTTTTACCTACACCTTCTTCAATATTAAGCAACTCGACATTGTTTAAAGCTTTTAACAGCAGTTCGTCGGGGAACTCGTTAAAAGGATCCAAATTTTTTCTCAACGTTCCACTAAATAACACTGGCTCCTAAAACAATATTGAGGTGCATGTAATAACATTTAAATTATACCTAGCGTAAAACACTTTTTTTTAAGTGAAAACGTCTTTAGAATCGTAATGTGATGAAATTCGATGAAACGAAAAAGCGACATTAAAAAGAGACAAACATATAAATCTATAGGAATTAGCCTTCGAGAGAAAGAGATAGACTACAGTATACAGTGTTTCCTATTACTTCCGTCACAATAAATTAATAATAAAAAATGAATGAATACTAAATTTTTATTAATAATAAAAAGGTTTCACTTCTACCGTGTGTGACGCATGTTTTTAATAGAATAATGGTGACAAACGAGCACAAAGTCCATCTGATAGTAAGTGGATGCTGTGGGCCATAGACATCTACATTTAACCTCGATTAAGAATTAAAAATGCAGATGCGTAAAACGGGTCTCCGGTTTTCTATACTCACAATACGAAACATAGCAGCATTAAGCTACTAGAGTAAGCTACTAGGTATTCTGTGAGAGCGTGGTTCTTCCCAGGACGAGTGGACCCATTCGTGCTATAGTTATAAGTCAAAGTCAAAGGTGCGAAACGTCTAGAAAGAAGAACGGTCACGCCCCATAGAAAAAACCCAGATCCGACAGATACGACGCATGTATCAGTTTATTTGTTTTTTATATAATTAACTTTATATTTTTTATGTTCGAAATCAATGGCTAACACCAAAATATTGCCTTATGTTTTTGTTCAGGCGATACACAAATATGGTTTCGATGACCCATCGCACCAGTGTAATAAGTCTCGAATTATTAGCTTAGTCGGTGCCTAATTGCGTGTCTTGTCTTCATTTGCTTGGCGGTATATGAACATCATAGCCATATGTTTCAATTAAGTGAATGGAATCCCGAAAGCCTCGGTCCAAAATAAATACGTCACATTGATGAAAAAAAAATGGAACTGTCCGTCTTCAATAGGAGCATCATGGTTTTCCAATATCAACTTCATTATGTCAGCATCAGTTGTCCGTGCAGAGTACGGACCTGTTACGTCCAAAATATATTCATCCGTACACACCATCATGAATGGTTTTATTAGGTTTTTGTACTTATGAAGGCTATAAGTGCGGCAATGAAATAGAAAGAACTTTTTTCTATATAGATGTAAGTTCTCTCGAATATAATTATTGGTTTTGGTGATATTTCGTTACCAAAAAAAATAATTGGTATGGCTGGGTTGTGGGCTATCACTTTGTCTCTGGTTATATGGTCTAAACCAAGGTGCAACGGAACAAAGTCAGTAGTGAGACACTGCCTTACTTTATTTATTTTTCTTCCAACATGTTGTTTTATTGAAAGAGTGCGATAGAATGATTTGTTTCTGTCACGACCAGGCTACCTGAGTCATAGCGTGACCATTTTTATACATATAGCTTCCTATTATGCAATAAATCATCTCATACTACGATTTTAATGAATCCTGAGTTGATTGTAGTTCTAGAAGTTTAAAAGTTACATAATCCAGCTGTATCTCCAAGTTACCTAGATACATCCCATAGCTATTGTATCGTCATTTAGTTATAGTATATACATTTACGAATTTTGTAGATAAAAGGCATTTTGTTTTTTTTTGTGTAGCGCCTGAACAAAAACATCAGGCAATATCTTGGTGTTAGCTATTGATTTCGAAAATAAAAAATACATAATTTAACTGTATAAAAAATAACAAAAAAAAACTGAGATATGTCTCGTTTCTGTCGGGTCTGGGTCACAGATGACCGCTCTCTAATCGCTTGTCTGTCTATCCGAGCTAATCTTCGGAAACCTTTGGAAGGGCTGAAGCGATTGTAATATAACTTCACAAACAAATAGAGAGTAAGTAATACCAGCAGTAATCTAGACTAGATTTTATTCAAAAGTTTAAGAGTCTTTGATAAAATTGAAATATCTATAAGATAAGTGTTTCTTTTCACTCGCCTACTTATATACCACCCGTGCGGTTAAAGAATAGGATTGAAAATGGCGTCGTCTCTATTTACCTGTTGCTCGTACACTGTTGCCATCTATACTGACCGTAGACAAAGAAACCTAGATACTGATGATTAGCGTGGCCTCGAGTGAGAAAGGACGATAACGTAGTTTTAGGTTATACAATAATCTTTACGACTTTTAAACATATTTAGACAAAATTTTTAATTGTTCTAAGAACTGAACTGAACAAGATTCACCAATTGTAAGCTCACAAAACACTTTTTTCTCACTTAAACCAACTTGTAAACTCCTTAGATCGCTACAAACTGTCAAAGTTGTTTAGCAAAGTGTAGTTTGCTAACAAAAAAACCGGCACGGAGAAAGGGACACACAATCACCCCTTTTCTATGCAAGACGTATGTATAAATCTATCTTTTTCGTGTGAGAATGAGAAAGAAGGCGTCAATTTATCTATAGGTTTCTCTGTCTACGATACTTTGACACAACGGTAAAGACTGAAAAAAATACGTTGCGATATGCGTTTTCGTACGTTATATAACTGGTTGGAACACTAACATTGGAACCAATGATAAAAAAATGCCAAAAATTACAAAAAAAATCTGGTTTCGCAAATTTGTGAGGTTTTGAGAGTTTCCTTCATAATTATTTTTGATTTTGTTTGTATACGTATATTTTTGTATAAAATATTTATATGCTGTTGAGACATGAGTAACCATCTTTAAAATTTTCGCTTGTCTGTCTATCCGAGCTAATCTTTGGAAATCTTTGGAATGGCTGAAGCGATTGTAATAAAACTTCACAAACAAATAGAGAGTAAGTAATACCAGGAGTGATCTAGACTAGATTTTATCCAAAAGTTTAGAGTCTTTAATAAAATTGAAATATCTATAAGATAAAATAAATGGTTTTAAATGATTTTTTGAAACAGAAATAGAAACTTTCTTATTCAATGTAGATTATAAACAATCAGTGGCGTAGCTACCTTGGGTGGCACCCGGTGCGGAAGTTGGTGGTGTCACCCCATCGAAAGGAAAAAGCAATAATTTTTATATGATAAAAGGACATGGATCATTTATTATTTATAATATTGAAGAAATAACAAAACACGATAATAACTAGGTCAGAAAAGGTATTGTTATACAAATAAAATTTCTTCTTTCTTGCTTTGACAGCTGCAAACTCAGCAATAACTTCATCGAAATGTATATTTTGTATTGCCTCGTTTCGATGGTTAATATACCAAGATTGCTAAGCCGCGATTGGGTCATTGTTGCCCGCAAATAGCTTTTTATTAATATTTATTTACTGAAAATCCTCTCACATGATGCTACGGACACGCAAACCGTCATGAACAATTTCAGTGCAATCATAAGATTTGAAAGAGATTCTGTAAAATCCCATTCTACAATAAACTTTAAAAAATCTAGACACCCAATCAGTAACCGTAACATTAGCGGCTTCTAAGTGTCTTCGCAATCTTGGTATCTCCATAAGTAATTCGGTTTCTGAGACCTCATCATAAAAATCAGTAAATTTAGATGTCGCCAATTTCAGTATTCAGCCAGTACAGTATTCGCCAAAAGCAAAGAATTAGTTTGTACGATCTCGAACAATGAAGCTACATTTTGAAGAGACTTCGATCTTGTTTGGAGTTCAACTCTGAATCGGTCAAGACATTCAACATATATTTTTGAAGTTCCTGTTTCAGTGTGAGTCCTGCATCGCTGGCCATCTCACCAACCATCCATTTTTTACGCCGAAGTCATTTTTCTGTTGGAATATCATAGTCTTCTGATTTTTTTGTTGCAATGTCTATTGCATCTTCCACAATGTGATCCCGTTTTTCTCCGATACAAAAACGAAGTGCCTCTATTTTTGTAACAGTTTACTCAACAGTACTTTACTTTGCAATGTAATCTGTGCAGAATTTGTTTCCCGAAGAACATCATACCAGAAGAAAAGATAACATAAAAAAGTGTAATTGCATACAGCAGGCATGAGGTTTTGTGTAGCACCTCTGGTGGCTATATTTTCTCGTCCATCACACAACTCCTCAATTGCGTCTACAAGTCCTTCAAAATTCTCTGCTAGTGCTTTTACTGCACGATAATGAGCACTCCAACGCGTTGTTGAAAGTCTTTTAACACATAATTTGCTATGTTTCATAAGCACTTCTCAACGGCTAGTGGAGGCGGAAAAAAAAAAGAAAAATCGTCTCTACCGTTCCAAAAAATGTAACGCATGATACATTTTGGGCAAATGAATGTTGACCACACAAATTAATCGAGTGATCAATACAACCAATAAAAATTCATTTATTGATTTAATAATAGACTGTACTCCTTCGTGCATACCGCTCATAACAGCAGCATTGTCATAGCATTGGGAACGACAAATCATAATATCTAACTCGTCTGTCTTAAGCTTGTCAAGAATTTTATCGCTTAGATCAGCAGCTTTTTTTCCTTCCAAAGGAAAAAATCCAAGGAATGCTTCTTTGACTTCCACTTTCCTATTTTCACATATCGTTAACAAGCTTAGTTTTCACATGGTTTGATAGAAAATTAATGAATTCATTCTGTATATCTGGCGACAAATATGATACGTTTGAAGTTTTATCTTTCTCCAATTTCATCATGTGTCCTTTCAACACTACATCATACTTTGATAATAGTTTTACTAATTCCAAAAAATTGCCGTTATTTTTAGTTTTGTCAGAAATAAAGTTATAATCCAGTAATCTAGTCAAAAGATGCTTCCACTTCTGTTTTTCTGTATCCATCAATTGCAAAGCTGCATCGTCTTTTGTTTTATTCAATTTTAGTCTCATTTCTAAAGTTTCCATTTTTCAAGATTTTCTAGATGTTCATTTGAACATTCGTGGTCAGCTACTTTCGGATTTAATTTCCACCACTTTTGAAATCTAGTCGTAAATGTTCCTGCATTGGTATTATTGGCCATAGCAAATAAACGACAGCAGAAACAGTACAGGTTTTTAGAGGTGAGGGAATAAACCATCCATAACCGTAGGAT